GGCGGCCTGTGTGAGGGAGGGGGCAGGACGTGCGACCTTTTGCGGCGCTTTACGGCAGCCCCCTCCCCGCCGCGCGCTTTACGGCAGGCTGTCACCCGCCGCCGAATTCAAAGGGAAGCCTCGCCGTGAGGAGAAACACCGGGGGGGGGGGGGCGAAAAATCAGCGGAAAAATGGTTTTTGCGGCCTAACCTGCCGACCGACGCTCTCCCCGCTGGGCCCCCGGGCCTCGTCGTCGTCGCCCATGGCGGCATGGCGGGGGGCCGGCCGGGGGCATCTCCTCCTCCGGAGCCGGTCGCTGCCGTTGTGCTCGGACAGGCCCTTCAGGGAGGGAGGCGAAGGCCTCCTTTACCGTAAGAGGCTTCTTAGGAGGGGATAAGTAGTTCTTTTGTTCTCGGTACTCGTTCCTTGCTCGCGTTTACTCTAGCTGAAGGAGAAAGAAGAGTTTACTTTTCCAGGTACAAGAATTTATTTGCTTCCAAGGCCTGCTCCCACCGGCCGTCCCCGACACTGAGGGACGTTGTTATTCTTCATGTTTCTGGCACGGGTTTGTCACACTTGAGCCCCAGGTGCTCAATCAGCTGGAGTTCCACTGGCAAAACAAATGGAGGCTTTTAAACAAACCAACCAACCCCCGAGAATCTCGCATAGGGCATTTAAGTCTACCTTTTCCACAGAAAAGAATCTAGAAAGCGTATCATAGAATGGTTTGGGTTGGAAGAGAACTTAAAGACCATCTAGTTCCACCCCCCTGCCCTGGGCAGGGACACCTCCCACCAGACCAGGTTGCTCCAAGCCGCATCCAACCTGGCCTTGAACCCCTCCAGGGATGGGGCAGCCACAGCTTCTCGGGGCAACCTGGGCCAGGCTCTCACCACCCTCACACCAAACAAGTTCTTTCTGGTATCTAAAGTAGCTAAAATGTGTATGATCTTGTTAGTTTATTCATTCCTCCACCACGTTGATGGGCTGTAGTTGCTTTTTTCTCTTTTAACCCAGTGGAGGGTGAAGGCAGGAGTGGATGGTGGTGACCTGGACACTGGGACAGCGAGATTGTGGGCAACACAAAAGTGGAAGGAGCAGCTGGGGGTCACGCTGCCACCCAAAAGGACCCCGCCACCCTGGAGAGTTGGGTTGACAGGAAGCCTGTGAAAGTCAACACCACACCTGGACGTGGACCTGGGCAGCTTGAGCAGGGGGCAGGTCCCTTCCCACAGACGTCAGCATTCCAGAGCAGGGGAGGTGAGCTGGAACCCCGCTTCCAGAATTCCAGTTCTCTCTGCCCGTTATGCTCTGGCTGTATTGTGCAAGTCTGAGATGATTCCTTCTACACGGGGTTGGTTGTGTTTTTTTTTTGTTTTCCAGTTGCTGCATTTATCTGTTGGCAACGCCCAACACCTACTCCTGTCAGCTGGTATGGGAGGTTACCTCCTCGTGACAGAGCAACTCCCAGATTGCAAGGTGTGGCTCCTCTGCTGTGCAAATGCTGACACCTGGAGAGAGATGACCACCAGCAGTGTGCCCAGGTGGCCAAGAAGGCCACCAGCATCCTGTATCAGGAACAGTGTGGCCAGGAGGACAGTGACCATCCCCCTGTACCGGGCACTGGTGAGGCCCCACCTCAAGGGCTGGGTCCAGTTTTGCGTCCCTTCCCACAAAAAAGACACTGAGGGGCTGGAGTGGGTCCAGAGAAGGGCAACGGAGCTGGTGGGGGGTCTGGAGAACAAGTCTGATGAGGAGAGACTGAGGGAGCTGGGGGTGTTCAGCCTGGAGAAGAGGAGGCTGAGGGGAGACCTTCTCGCGCTCTACAACTCCCTGAAAGGAGGGTGTAGCCAGGGGGGGTTGGTCTCTTCTCCCAAGGAACAGGTGATGGGACAAGAGGAAACGGCCTCAAGTTGTGCCAGGGAAGGTTTAGGATGGATATTAGGAGAAATTTCTTTACTGAGAGAGTTATCAGGGCTTGGAAGAGGCTGCCCAGGGAAGCGGTGGAGTCGCCATCCCTGGAGGTAGAGACAGGTAGAGGTGGTACTGAGGGACACGGGTTAGTGGTGGCCTTGGCAGGGTTGGGTTAATGGTAACTTGGCAGTGCTGGGTTAACAGTCGGACTCGATGATCATAAAGGTCTTTTCCAACCAAACCAACACCATGCATCCACGAGCACTGCACGCCCATGCCCTTCAAACATCAAAAAAAGCCATTAACCAGCATTACCTTAATGAGCAAAGAAAACATGAAGGGAGCAGAGCACCTGCCACTGAAGAGTTCATATGTAGAGCTGTAATTTCTTAGCTTTGTCTTAAGCATCTCATCTGTCAAACTGGCTTTCAACGTCAAGTATTTTGAAGTAGTTTCACACTGAGGTAGCATCAAGCAGTTCGCTATGTTCTTTCAAACCTGTAAAGCTGAGTATTTTCAGAGCAAAATTACTGCGGAAGCCGCATTGAGTATCAGATCCTGACGTCAATTAAAAAGGCAGAAATAATGGAGCTTATTTTAATGTCTTAATTCATTAATGTCTTAATGCATTTATCATATCATACCTTAAAAATAAAAGTGAGGAAAACAGAAGTATTCTGAGGAGCAGCTCTGAGGAGAAAGACCTAGGAGTCCTGATGGACAATAGGATGCCCATGAGCCAGCAATGTGCCCTGGTGGCCAAGAAGGCCAATAGCATCCTGGGGGGCATCAAGAAGAGTGTGGCCAGCAGGTCAAGAGAGAGGTCATGCTGCCCCTCTGCTCTGCCCTGGGGAGGCCCCATCTGGAGCACTGGGACCAGTTCTGGGCTCCCCAGTTCAAGAAGGACAGGGAACTGCTGGAGAGGGGACAGCAGAGGACTATGAAGATGATGCGGGGCTGGAGCATCTCCCTTATGAGGAGAGGGTGAGGGACTTGGGTCTTTTTAGTCTGGAGAAGAGAAAACTGAGGGGGAATCTGATCAATGCTTATAAATACTTAAAGGGAGGTTGCCAAGAGGATGGGGCTGGTCTTTTTTCAGTGGTGCCCAGGGACAGGACAAGAGGAAATGGGCACAAACTCGAATGCAAGAAATTCCACCTAAACATGAGGAGGAACTTCATTACTTTTGTCACGGGCGGAGTGATTAATTTCACTGGTAAGAAAGAAGTAGTGAAATATTTATCAAGGTGAAACAGTGATTTAACAAAACCAGTAGCAAAGGCAATAAAACCAGTAACAAATGCAACGGTGTTTTACGAGATTCGATGTCAAGGCACACTCTATTATTTACTGCCCAGAGGACAGGGTCAGACAAGCTGTCAGGGAGACCCTCCCGTGGAGTCCCAAAGTTCAGAAAGGACCCCTGGGCTTTCTAAACTCCTTCCCAGAGAGGAGTCTGGGTGCAGCTGGATCCAATCCTGGTCCCAGCCTTGGTCAGTGGTTTATGTCTAAAGGATCATATCTGCGCAATCAACCCTCTAGATCACTTAGCTCAGATTTCAAAGTCTAGCATGCTATGAGTCACTTACCCAGAATCTGTTGCAGCAAGGAGTCTCTCACCCTGGAGGAGTAGATCCTTAAGCGAGCGTCCTCACCAAAGGGGAGATCCTGGCGTGCAGCCGCTGCCGTCCAGGAGAGCTCCGAGGGCTCTGGGGATGTCCACTGTTTATAGAGTGAGATAATTGACCTATAGTCATGTTCTCATGGGAACAGAATATCCAGGTCCCCATTCGAGACAGTGTTTTGGCTGCGTTGCCAGCCATCTCCCAAAGTCCAGCTGCAAGTTTTGATGTGATGGCCGTGGTGGCCATGGCCCCAGCAGGAGCTGAGAGGGGACTGGCAGGGGGGAAGAAGAGGGAGAAAAGCAGGGAGAGCACACCGCCACACCTGAGGATGGCAGAGCCCTGGCAGAGGCTGCCCAGAAAAGTGGTGGAGTCTCCTTCTCTGGAGACATTCAAACCCACCTGGACACGTTCCTGTGGGACCTGCTCTGGGTGGACCTGCTCTGGCAGGGGGTTGGACTAGACGATCTCCAGAGGTCCCTTCCAACCCCATACCATTCTGTGATTCTGTGAAGTATCAGTAATGCAGTTTTCAATTCTTAAATTTTTTTTTGGAGGGGGTGTTCGGTTTTTAATACTTACCCAGAAAGCTTCTCCTTGGCCGTTTTATTGCACTAGACCATGATTCTGGTTTCATAAAAGTCAGGAAATAATTCACACTTTACTCTTGCAGAACACACCACCTTCTGTGGCAGGAAGAGCGTTACACAGAGACACGGGTGACACGTTCATGTTCTGTGCCTTGTAAGGGCTGTTACTTGCTCCTGAGCAACTCACAGATTTCTCATGAATAAAGTTTAATGAAAGACATAAATAAAATCCAATTCTTGCTTTACAAATTAAATATTATAATAAGGATATTTTCTTAAATCTGACTTGCATTTCAAATACAACCTCAGCTACAAAGACCAATAAGTACAGAGTTACAAAGCAGAAAATCAAGTCAGTGTCAATAAGGCGTCGCTTCTTACAGCTACAAAAACTGTGTTGTCTCAACCTGAAGGTTCCCAACTTTTTTGGAAACATTTCTATATGCTTTAAATTGCTCAAATTAACTACAGTGCTAAAAACGCAACTCCCCATCTTCTCAAGAAAGGTGTCTGGGTTTAGATTTGTGGGTCCAACACCAGTAAGTGGAAGTACAATCCCTTCTGGTACTGCGGTAGTGTCGGTGTGAAACCGACACCTCCCACCCCCAGGGGTGCTGAGGTACCTGCTGGTCTTACGGAGGGTGCAGAGACCAGCAGGTTTGGGTCACCACCATCTCTAGGATGAGTCAAGCAGCCATACCACAGATCACCTGGGGCAACTTAAAGCGAGCCCGTGGCTACCTTTCTGGGAGGGCATCTCTCAGCCAGGGCGGCGATGGTGCCAGCAGGCTGTGGTTCAGCGCCTGTTCCTGCCCCAGCTCCATCAGGCCACTGCAGGTGGAACCACCACCTCCCAGGGAGGTCCATCACAGCGGCTCTTCTCACATAGTCTGAAGCTGATAAACTCGTGACCCTTTTTTCAAAAGATAACCCTGGTCGTTTAGGGATCCAATAAAGCTTTCAAAATCGGATACCTGGGAAAAGACAAGACAGACCAAAATAAATATCAACTGGGAAGAATGATGTTTGATTTGATGTAATGCAACATAAAAAGTTTGAAAGAACTTAGTGAAATCAAGTGACCTAAGAATAGGTCAGTCTCCTTAGCAAAACCTACTGGGGGGATCAGATCCCTCCTCGGTCTTCTCTTCTCCAGACTAAAAAGACCCAAGTCCCTCAGCCTCTCCTTGTAAGGGAGATGCTCCAGGCCCCTCATCACCTTCGTAGTCCTCTGCTGTCCCCTCTCCAGCAGTTCCCTGTCCTTCTGGAACTGGGGAGCCCAGAACTGGACCCAGTGCTCCAGATGGGGCCTCCCCAGGGCAGAGCAGAGGGGCAGGATGACCTCCCTCCACCTGCTGGCCACGTTCTTTTTGATGCCCCCCAGCATGCCATTGGCCTTCTTGGCCACAAGTGCACATTGTTGGCTCCTTGGAAACTTGTTGTCCACCAGGACTCCCAGGTCCCTTTCTGCTGAGGCTGCTCTCCAGCAGGTCAACTCCTAACCTGTCCTGGTGCAGGGGGTTATTTCTTCCCAGGTGCAGCACCCTACACTTGCCTTTATTGAAGTTCATCAGGTTCCTCTCTGCCCAAAGCATAAAAATAGGCTATCACACAAATAAGCTATCAATATTTGTGTTTGGCTGAAGCCCTCCACAAGCACAGAATACAAATCAGTTATAGGATAAATCACATTTTTGGCCATCTGTCCTACAGGAATTTACTATATTAGGATGCTGGAAGCAGGGATGAAAACCCAAAAGGCATAATTGGGGCAGAGCAGGTCAAGCAGAACACGGACACCACAACAGTCTAAATTTGGAAATTAAAATAGGTGTGTCCCCTGGGGAGCCAGAAGAAGTCAAGTATACTGAAACCAAAATTGCCTTTTATGAAACAAAGTGGAATCTTGTTAAGGACCAGCTCCAGAAGCCTGTACTGGTGCAGGGAGTCACTCCTGTGGGACGGCTGTCAGACCAGTAAAGCTGACAAACAAAGGCAACCGGGGAGGAGTGTTCAGCCCGAGAGCAGCAAACACGGCTCCTTTCTGTTCAGTGCAGGGAGGCACAACAGATGGGCCTTTTCCACTTTCCATTTTGCAGTAAGTAATTTTGACTGGTCTTGCAGTTTGTTGTTGTTGAAGAAAGGCTTGGTTTCCAGACTTACTCGTATTTGTAGCTCCTTCGCGATCTGCCGAAGCTGTTGGGAGTCAAAGAGATTGTTGTACGTTCTCTCCGCGATGCTGTTAAGGGCAGAAATGAACCGTTTCGCTTGTGACCGATTGCTCATCCCAGACCCGTGCTGTGAACGTTCAAAGTCCAGTTTTCCAAACTCATCCGAGTAGGTTCCCAGCATGCTAAAAAAGATCAACAGGAGGTAAAAGCAAGAGTAGGTGACTTTGCTTCCTGAAACGTAACTGCTTGGGAAAGCTCTCAGAAGCCATACAGGAAGCCATCCCCTAGTTAAGAAAGTCATTATCGAGAGAACCTGGACTAAGCACCTCTCCAAATCACTTTTCAACTTAAATTGTTCAACTGCAACAACAGAGAGTAATCACGAGAGAAAAAAGAAACTAAAAACCTTTGGCAGCCCCTCATGTCTAAGCTCCTGTGAGGGAGATACATCACCACCACAACAGTGATACAACTCCAAGGCCTCAGGAATCATAACTCAGCTTAGGGCTGCTGCCAGGTTTTGAAGAAAAGCTAACAAATCTGAATATTGGTATCATAGGCCTAAACTTGACAAAGTCGTTTCTTCACCTTGCTTCTGTATTATATTTAAAAAAATAAAAAAAAGTTTTGAATGAATAGCACTGTGATGCTTTATTTAAAGCAGGGTGTATTACCTGTATTTCATTATTTCTATTACATCCTCAGCATCTTCCTTGGTAGATTTCTCCCTTAATTCCAGCCTTGTTCGTGCCTTAAAACAAAACAAAACAAAAACTTAAAACAAAAAAAACCCACAGAGGTATATTTAAGATACATTACAACTGACATGAGAAAAGGCTACCATCACTCTACAACAAGCACAAATTTTAGGAGCAGAGATGGAACAGGATTTAGAGGAAGATTCCACTGTTTTTTTGGATAACATTTCAATGTCACCTCCTGCACACTCATATTATTAGGCTGTAGCTTGGAGTTTATTTGCTTTTTAATAGTGCATTCTTGGGAAGCAGCAGGTCACAAATAGTGTTATTAATGCATGGCATTAGGGAAAACAGCAGCAGTTTAAGTTCAAGATGGGCAGCAGCTTGTCTCTGGCTGCACCTACTTTTTCTCCTTTTGTGAGAATGTGATAGATTCTCTTTCCACCCCCTCAAAGGTGTTATACTTTATAAGAAGCTTTAAGCAACAGTAGCTCTTGAGCATTTGGAAATCTCCTGCATTCTCACTGGTTTGCTTTTTTTAAGCACAAAAAGACAGGCTAGCAGTGAATAAACTGTCAAAAGTTATAGGATTATGAGCAGTAGTTTAGGAATAATCTCTTTGCTTCCAATCCCCGAAGTATCACAAGTTGCCTTTACCTCCGTGAGTCGAATGAGTGACTCCAGCTGCCTCGTGGTGATGGGTGTGCTGTCTGCTCCCTGGTTCTGCTTCCGCAGCTCCAGGTAGAATTCCTGCAGGACCTGGGCAGCTTCTGGAGATAAATTTGGGTGAACGTACTGCCGAGCATATCCGACATACTTCCTCAGCAGCTGGTGTGGAATGGCATCAAAGTTTTCTCCTGGTAAGATCTAACCCAATTGCAAAGAGCTTAGATTTCTGTCAATACAACACAAGTTTTATCATAAAATTTTCATCTTCTATGCCTTATCTGGCAAAATCTTCACTGTAAGGGCTTTAGTGCTTCATATATGAACTGTGTACATAAAAGCCCATGCACTCTGCTGAGACGTGTCATTAAACACACTTGGCCACTTCAGAAAAAGCAGCTGAAGCTTCTCATTTCCAATGATAAGAAGTGCCCAATATGATTTAACTGTATCAATAATTCTTTCTCAAAAAAGAGAAATTCCAATTTCCTAACTGTTATAAGATACATCTCCAAAGAAGATTAAACCATCACTGCTGACATTCCATTTCCAAAAGTGCACACGTTTAGCTCCAGTAGTAGGGCATGTTCCTCCCAAGATCTGGCATTTGACAATATCAGCCCTCAAACTCATCACTTAGGTTTATAAGAAAAATGCTGCTTCTCCTATAATCCCCAAATCTGTCGTGAGTTGCAGATGCCCAAGGATTTGTTTACACTCTGCTTTGTTCAGATTCAGTACTTCGCAGCACATGGTGTAATATCAAATTATTATACCCAGTCTACTTCTGTAGCTCTCTACTGAAATAAAACATAGAAAATTTGCTTTAGAGCATCTCAAGCAAAGTATCTTCTCACTAGTGCAACCAAAAAAAAACCAGCTCAGTTAATAAATTCAGTGTGGAGATGAAGGTGGCTTGAGGCACATCTTTAGCAGCTCCAACAGGGGGGACAATGTCAGCTACAACAGACAACTGGTAGAAACTGGTGGCTGGAACCTTAAGTGCTTCCTCTTCAATTCAGAGCCAATTATCATGAGAAAAATGGGAGCAGGAGACAGGACATCCAGCGGGTCGGGGTTGCCAGGTCCCGGTGCAAGGACCGTCCCGGGAAGGGGCCATAGCACCAGTCACAGGACAAGACCTACCTTCAGCCTTTCGAGCAGTGGTCGATCTGAAACAACTTCAAGAACAGAGCGATCCTGCGTGTTGGTCCGAGCCACAACGGCGCTGCTGCACGCTGCCTGCCTGCCCGCTCGGATGGCCATCACGTGCTCGGACAGCAAGTGGTCATGGTCTTCATTTGGGGTGTCCAGCAGAATGAAAACGAGATCGAATCTCGACAGCAAAGCACTCCCCATTCTAGAGCAAAGACAACAAAACCACACAGCGCTCAACGAGAAGTGGTAAAATTAGAGCAACGCTTCAAAGACACTTAAAAAAACCCCATCCCATTAATTCAGAATAAAGTAAGACAGCAATTTCTCTCTCAAAAGCCACAAAAAGGGATTGGAGCGTCTCCCTTGTGAGGAAAGGCTGAGAGAGCTGGGACTCTTCAGTCTGGAGAAGAGAAGGCTGAGGGGAGACCTTATTAATGCTGACAAGTATCTAAAGGGTGGGTTGAAGGAGGAGGGAGACAGACTCTTTTCAGTGGTTCCCAGTGACAGGACGAGGGGCAACGGGCACAAGCTGGACCATGGGAAGTTCCACTCCAATCTGAGGAAGAACTTCTTTGGGGTGAGGGTGGCAGAGCCCTGGAAGAGGCTGCCCAGGGAGGGTGTGGAGTCCCCTTCTCTGGAGATCTTCAAGCCCCGCCTGGATGCTCCTGAGTGATGTGCTCTGGGCAGCCCTGCTTTGGCAGAGGGTTGGACTGGATGATCTCTAGAGGTCCCTTCCAACTCTGACAATTCTGTGTTTCCATGAAAAAAATTACTACAGTAAGTTTGTGTTCAAACTACAGGAAACTAGAAAGCAACTACATACAAACAACAAGGCTGCCAGAAGCACCTACTCCTGAATTTAAGCTATATAAAGAGCATTTCAGAAAGTGCTCACTTTAAGTTCTCCGACACTGTTTTAGCTTTGTTATAATGTCCTCCAACTGGGTTTGCTGCAGCAACAATAGACGTCCGAGCTGGCAAACTGCAAACAATGCCAGCCTTGGCAAGGCTGATGCTTTGCTGCTCCATGGCTTCCAACAAAGCCTGATGCTGGTTTCCCATCTTATCAAATTCATCTATTCCACAAATTCCTAGAAGCAATTAACACAAGACAGAGACTAATTAGAAAACACATTAAGTGATGGACAAGCGTATGCTACAATCCAGTGCCACATCAGAAGTCCCAGCCAGAGTCCTGGACACATCAAACCAAGTTGCCGCGGCCGAACCATTACGAAGGTGCCCTGGCTTGTGGAAGCAGTGTCATGATTAAGCATTAAGATGACAACAAAAGCTTTTTAAAAGTAGAAACAGATGACAAATCTCATAAACCAGCTATTTTTCAAAAACAGTAAGAGTCCAGCAGCTGCCGTTAAGGCAGAGATTTCTCAAGAAGGAGATCCTAGTTCTTTGACATGTTAAGTAAGGCTGGTATGTGAGTTGCAGAACTCCAGCTTCACACACATCCTAAGCCCTAAGGAAGCAGGAACCACCTCCAGAGAAATCCCTGGAGAAGTCACTCAGAACTTCCCAAGGTGTGGAAGTATCCTACTTCAAATTTACATTTTTAGTACCCGGTTATGCAAGCACTGTAGTTAATCTTAGACTCAGCAGCACACCCAACCCCACCCCCCCACACACAATCATACAAAACTTGTAGCATTACATGTATTACCTTGATCTCCAAGCACTAAAGCACCAGCTTCCAAGGCAAAATCTCCAGAAGCCCCATCTCTAGACAGTGTAACAGTCAGGCCAGAGCTGGTGGAAGTATTACCACAAACGTATACACCTCGAGGAGCAACATTACATACTGCCTAGAAGAGAAATAAATAGTTTTTCCTGCCCCAAGGCGAAGAATTTCATCAACCTTATTCTAGAGAAACAATTAAAAGTAAACCCAAATTTGTTGCTTTCTAAATAACGTGGCACAACAGTAAAGCTGTAATTCCATGCAAGCCCGAGAGACATACTTCTGCAAAACTTTGGTCATAGGAATAGCAAGAATAACTTGGTCACAATATTCGTGGCACAGCAATGTCTATTGTGCCATCAAAACTACTAGGAGCTTGGACATAGCAATTATGTTTCAAAATACATTGAAATGCTTGGGGACATGCTATCCACCACGGAAATGCAGATAGATAACTTCTCTATCTTCAGACCTCAAGGTCTATTTAGACAAACATCTTGTCCTAGTGTCCACAAGAAGCTGCTTCAGAGGAATATGCACAGTTCTACCCACAGCGAGGGCATAGAGGACAGTTCTAGTCTTCTCCAGGCCTCTAGCTCCAGAGAGCAGCTTAGCTGAAATGTGAACTAGCAAAGCATGGTAAACTTGAACACAGAGGTGCTGCAGTTAAATTTGCCTGGAATACAGTTATAACTGGCCTTTCCCAATAAATTGCTATAGTTACAGGCACCTCTACTTTACCAGATATATGACAGGCACCAAGTATTGAATAAAAAACCTCAAGCAAACAAATGAAAAAACCCTGGCTCCTCCACAGCTTTGGCTTTCTCTGTGGGCTTTTTGTTTTCTTTGACAGCAGTGACTGAGAGAAGCCTTGTCTCAGGGTCTTACCCAAGGAACAGATTGCTGGCTTTTCTCAAATAGCGTTCTGTAATTTATTAACAACGTGAAAAAACACATCATCTACTGTGTGGTAGAGTCTCCATAGAGTGGAAAAAAAATAATAATTTGTTCTTCTCCCAAGTGAATAATGACAGGACTAGAGGAAACAGTATGAAGTTGGGGCAGGGGAGGTTTAGATTAGATATTAGGAAGAATTATTTTACTGAGAGTGGTCAGGCACTGGCACGTCCTGCCCAGGGAGGTGGTGGAGTCACCATCCCTGGAGGGATTGAAGAAACGTGTAACGTGGCACTTCAGGGCATGCTCTAGTGCCTGAGATTGTTGGGTGTGGTGATTGTTGTGGTGATGGAGTGTTGGTTTTTTTGTTTTGGTGTGTGTGGGGGGGATTTTGGTTGGTTTTTTTTTGTTGTTGTTTTGGTTTTTTTTATGGTTGGACTCAATCTCAAAGGTCCCTTCCAACCATGAAGATTCTGTGATTTTGTTCGCAAAGATGCCTGCACACAAATCCATCACTTCAAGTTACTGCAAGTCATATCCTAACAGAACATGTTCACATTAGGCAGTCTCTGAGTTTTTAAGAGGTATGCAATGCTGCAGGTCTAGGTGAGCTTTCTCCCCCTTTCACTTCACAACCATGGGAAAAGACATGGAATTTTAAAACCATTCTGTTTAAGACCAGAAAAAAATATTTATTACTAACCGGTTTTGTCACAATCATGCAGAAATGCTCACCAAATGCATCAACACATCCCTGTCCCAAAAAGCCCAGATCTGTGCTAGCAACATGGAAATAGGGTAAGAGAATGGGAGTAGACCTCTCAGAAGGTAAGGGACATGGTATTTAAAGTTGCATTAGTTCTAAGAGTGTACTTATTTTATTTGACAATGGATCAGCTAAATGGAGATAGGAGGGAGTAAAACTTCCCACCAGGGAAAAGGGCTGGTGAAAAAAACATCTCTAAGGGCAGGACAGAACACCTATACTCCAAAGCCCACAGACCTGCCCAAGCATAGCTGCTTTGCTAAGTGTTTTAACAGGCTGGATCCCTTCTGCAAGGCTCCCTGGAGAGGACAGCAGGGAACTCCTTTGAGTACTATCCTATATTTGAGGCATCCTACGTGAAAAGGTATCTCCAGCCAGGCTCGAGCAACCCTTTGGGATTAGCACAGCTCTCCTACCATGTTTGCAAGAAGTCAAGTTAGCAAGGAATTTGAGAGATAAACAGTCAGACAATAGAAATAAACCAACCCATACTTGCAACATTTGGCTTTTTCCTAATCCTGGATCTCCGACGACCAGAACGTGTGGATCTCCTCGCACAGGGATTCTGTTCTTGTCATCTACAAACTTCTGACATCCTCCAAATAACGCCAGGGCCAACCCTGCCTTTACAATCTGTAGTGGGACATACCAACACCAATAAGTATTTGACCCTGGTGACCAATACTGACAGGTCCCTAGAACTGGCTGCAATAACCCTTTCCTTCTGGATGGCTGAACTTAACAGTACGTGACATACACCCACCTGTAAATACAGTCCCTGCCCCTCACCCCAGAGAAGTGTTATAAATCCTTTAGGAGTTTATTGCAGCATAAACATTTCAACTGAAGTTGCAAGCAATTACTTACCTCATGGCCGTAGATTGCAGGACACAGAGAGCTGAAAAAACAAAGAACACTGTAACACAAGCGGAATATAAATCTTGTATTACTATTTAATAAGCACTTGCTCTATCTCCCTTGTCACAGAATACTTTCATAAATATATTAAGTCCTTTGTTTAGTCACTGCTGAATTTCTAGCAGAATCAGTTTATATGTAAAAGCAACATCAAGTTTCTTGACTTTTATCAGATAACCAGATATGCCTGAAATGATAAGAAAAGTCTTTCATTTGATTTTGCACAAACACAGAGGGGAACCAGTTTCCCAGTGGTTTCTGCACCCATTCTTATCTTTATCAAGTAATCCTCCCTTTAAAGGTGCTTGTTTCGCGTTCTTTGCCTCCACTGGGAGGACGCAAGGGACACCGCAGCTAGAAAAGCGCTTCTCAGTCTGACTGAGGGTTTTTCACACCCTCTGCTCAGTTCTTGCACCTCTTTCCTCTGCTGTAGAAAAGTAGAGCAGTAGGCTTTCTGTCTCAGGGTTGAACTGAAACGCTCCTACCTTCCCTATATCCTTAAATCCCTCCCAGAGTCCCAATATCCCCACTGGAATACTTTCTCTACCTCCCAAGCCCTTTGCACACTAACATTTGTTAAATCCCTGTGGTATCTGTTGCATGAGCCTTGTACATTTCATAGCTTTTAAGATTAGCTCCCACGTACATCTGTCTGACGTCAATCATGCCCTCTGAGAACTTTAATCCTAGACCTGCTCCAGGTGTGACACAACTTACTTCACGATGAGCCTGAACAGATTTTCCTCAGCTTGAATTTCTTGAACAGCATAGAGGTCTTTAAGGGAAAACTCCATGAACGACCTTTGAAAAGTCTCATCATCGAAATTCTTCAGTTTTTGTCCTTTACTGTTGCTGACAGAATTTGCCTCAATATACAACAAGAACATACACTTGTCATTCTTATTTTTAGAAGCTCCTGTTAGAAAAAAATGAGAAAGGATGAAGGAATATTTTTTATATCATTAAGTACTGATGTTATCTACAAATGGCGTAGGTTAATTAAGAAATATTAAGTACAGTCACGTGCAAAATGTTCACAGGCAAGTGAACGCCTACATTTTCAAAAACTGATAAAAAGTAAGTTTAAGTTCCTTCTATTTAGGTACACAATAAAATATTTTGCTGGATTTGGAGAGTATATGTGTATAAAGAGAATTTTCTCCCAGAATAAATGAAGTTTTCCAGGAATTTTAAATTATTATGTTATTCTAGTCAAATATAGGTTGAATATAAAAATGTTTCCACCCAATACTTACAGGAAAAAAAAACACCATAGTGCAGAATTAAACATGTAGCTTAATAACTCATCATTTTCTATATCCTCCAGTGATTACTGAGCAGAGGATGTGGCCTATAAATCCATACTGCAGTTCTCTGCAATATATATTCTGTTATAGCCTCGCTTTGGGGAAGAAAAATGAAAAAAGGGGAAAAAAAAGAAGTCTCTCAGAGGGACTTTAGGAAGTAAGGATGTCCCCCTTCCATTAGTGGTCCAGAGATGGCTTTCCTATCAGCTGACACCCTCAAACATCAGAGGTCAGGCTGGCATTTCAGATTCAGGACCACAGTTGTGCTTAGGGCAGCGGGTTGCGAAAGCCCCTATCAGCAGACGTTACAGATAGTGCTCCTCTTGGACAGCACTGCTTTGTGCTTCTTCAGAATGATTCCTCCTTAAAAAACTTTGGGAACTTCTGAAGAAATATACAGTTTGTGGATTTACAACTTTGAGAGCTCAAATTAAGGCGGGTGGCTGTTGTTGTTCGTGTGTAATCTCTAGGAAAAGATGTTCTCAGATGACATATTTTACCTTCCTCAGTGCTCCACACCTTAACTATCCCTGTAACGGTGACCATATCTCCTGGGACACAGCTGTCCACAAGATCTTGAACCAGTTCACATTCGATAGTGCGAGGGATTCGGCCGGCTTCTCGCTGATCATCTGACATGAGCTCCTGCACCCTGCAAGACACAAGGGCTTCCCATTAAATTACAGCATACAAGATCCACAGCTGTGTGCTTCCAACCAATCCTTTCCAAATTGAAAAGGGAGACAGCAGAAATGCCCTGATAAATACTAGAAACAGCAGTGCTGAATTCGAAGAAAGCCTTTTTTTCAGTTTAGACTTTAATAAGTGGATATACATTATGCATTAAACCCACAAAGACAATAAATATGAACTCCCAAAACAATAAACAAAGTTGAAATTCCCATGTTATAGCACTTATGTGCATGTTCATGTAGAAACAGTTATAGTATGTGAAGTAAGATGGAGCTCATATACAAAAATTAAGAGGCCCTGATAAATGCTTAATTGGCATTTTAACCTTAGCAAAGCCCAAGAAATTCCTCAGACCATAACAAGACCAGTAGCTCACTCTTTGCAGAGTTGTAAAAGGCTGGCAACTAATAAGCTCTTGAAAAGGCTCCCGTTTTGACTCTGCACTTAGAGTTCTGATAGTTTGCCTTCAGAGTCAAGACTTTCCTAAGAAGCTGCAATAAACAGCACCCTCTAGAGCTGCTGACAAGAACGTCTGCACTTGTTTTTTTAATCCATTTTTACATGACTTTTATTACAGAACATTTATAAAGAAAACTATATTTCTATGCCATTTGGTACAATAAGGCTCTTGATACAGAGCACATGAACTTCGAGAATCTGGACACAAGAAGTAGGAAAAAGTAAGCAGAGTCCTGTTTTTTCCAAGCTGACTGCAGTAAGGTAACGGGACAGACAAGAAATATCTCAAACTCTTCTGAATGTACACTGTGGGGCAATAGTAGGGTGGTCAGAGTGCTGATAGTGCATAGTAGGATGGAAACAATGAAAAACAGTTCCACCATCCACCAGTCCTCTTCAATACATTCATCAATGACCTGGATGAAGGGATGGATTGTACCCTCAGCATGTTTGCTGATGATACAAAACTGGGAGGGGTGGCTGACACCCCAGAAGGCTGTGCTGCCATCCAGAGAGACCTGGGCAGGCTGGAGAGTTGGGCAGAGAGGAACCTGATGAACTTCAACAAAGGCAAGTGTAGGGTGCTGCACCTGGGGAGGAATAACTCCCTGCACCAGGACAGGTTGGGGGTGACCTGCTGGAGAGCAGCTCTGAGGAGAAAGACCTAAGAGTCCTGGTGGACAACAGGATGACCATGAGCCAACAATGTGCCCTTGTGGCCAATGGCATCCTGGGGGGCATCAGGAAGAGTGTGAGCAGCAGGTCAAAAGAGGTCATCCTGCCCCTCTGCTCTGCCCTGGGGAGGCCCCATCTGGAGCACTGGGTCCAGTTCTGGGCTCCCCAGTTCAAGAAGGACAGGGAACTGCTGGAGAGGGGACAGCAGAGGGCTACAAAGATGATGAGGGGCCTGGAGCATCTCCCTTACGAGGAGAGGCTGAGGGACTTGGGTCTTTTTAGTCTGGAGAAGAGAAGGCTGAGGGGGGATCTGATCAATGCCTATAAATACTTCAAGGGAGGGTGTCAGGAGGATGGGGCTGGTCTTTTTTCAGTGGTGCCCAGGGACAGGACAAGAGGAAATGGGCACAAACTTGAATATAAGAAGTTCCACCTAAACCTAAACCTTCTTGAGGTGGTGGAGTCTCCTTCTCTGAAGACATTCAAACCCGCCTGGACACGTTCCTGTGCAACCTGCTCTGGGTGGACCTGCTTTGGCAGCGGGTTGGACTGGATGATCTCCAGAGGTCCCTTCCAACCCCGTATCATTCTGTGATTCCTACGCTTTACCATGGCTAATTTCTGTAGAAACAGGCACTTGTTCCCCCATAGCACAGGTCTCACTTCAGGCATTCCTGCTCGCTGATCAGACACACAAAGCTGCTGGCCGGGCAGGTGCAGCACTATTTCCTTCTCCTGAGTGTAACTTAAGGACTAGGGGACATAATATCACTTCAGACTAAGATTTTTAAACCTCAGGTTTACTTTCATTTCTTTCACACCAACTGTCCCAGCCAACCAATGTATTTTAACAAGGCTTTTCTAGCTTTCTTACAGCTCATTAAAGGGAATCATTAATTAATAGATGCAATTAGGAATGACCTAATGAAAAGCTGCAAAGAGCACAGAATGAACATTTCTCAAAGAACTCAATCAGGGCAGGAGGAATTTCCAGGCTGGTTTTAACATACGAAGTATCCTACTGGATAAAGCAACCATTTTGTAACAAATTTTGAAGCGTGCTTGCTGCAAAAGAGTAAGATTATTAAAACTGCACAGTTTAAGACAGAATGAGCCATCCTGGCTGCCCTGGTGCATCACGTTTTTGTGCAGGAGGGAAGGTGCACTTACTTAACAGACTGCCAGTCCACCGTGGTGGTTAGAGGAGAGCTTCTGTCCGCTGTGAAGGTCCGCCCACGGCACTCGGGGACAAGGCACTGTAACAACAGTAATTCCAGTTTATTTTCAACCTTTTTTAAAATCAATTTGGAATTGCCTTATTTGGTTTTAAAAAAAAAATAATAGTAAAGTAAAGCAATGTGATTCACTAACACCATTTCAGGAAAAAAGCTGGTTAAATTAGGACTACAAATCAGCACATACATGATTAATGAGGAGCTATCAAGCACAAACACCTGAGCCCTGACTCAAAGTTAGAGCAAATACAGCTGAATTGTATGATCCCTCGGTGAACTGGGGTGAGTCTTTGGGTGTTGGGGCAGAGGTGAGGTGTGGGTGGTTTTGTTTGTTTGTTTGCTGGGGAGGTTGTTTGGTTTTTTGTTTGTCTGGTGTTTTGTTTTTTAATACTTGCAGAAGTTCCAGAGGAGATAGTTTTTGCACTTGAGCACATCATTAACTGGCACTTCCCTTTGTCTAATGACTTTTTAAATCCAGATAAAAAACAATGAAGTTAAAATAGGGAGTTCTAAATGAAACTCACAACAAACCCCCAATATCTAAGCATAGAAACCAAGGTCCAGAAGGCTTTTTAAATATAACCAGTGAAATGGAAATGACAAGAGATTTTTTTATTTGCCTAGATTTGAAGGAGTTTGTACACACTCAGCAGGACACGATTTTTTTCAAATAACAAGGGTATGCAGTAATACAAAGTTGTTGCTTTTTGTCAAATCACTAGAGATAAGGGAGAAGTATGAAGTTAAATGGTTTTAACTTACCTTAGTTGGAAGAGTATACTTTCCATCAGGTAGGGGCACACTCTGAACATCTCCACACGTGCCACATACAAAAGCCAGCTTAGTGCAGAGGGGCTTGATGTTACTGACACGCACAACCGTACCACGTAAGGCAATATATTTCCCAAAGCAGTTGGCCCGAACGTTCTTCAGCTGAGTTAGTGGCTCGTAGTTGTACACCCTACACAAAAGTTAAGCATTAACATTTTGAAAGCTTGCCATACTTAAATGCAGAACAACAACCAACCAACCAAACAAAAAACAAACAAACAAAAACCAAACCAAAACTTCCCAACTCCCACCCAACACAAACAAAAAAATCCCACCCCCAACAACAAAAAGGTTTACACACCAATTGTTAACAGAAATCCAGAGCAATGATTAGAATATTTTGTCTGTGGACCCATAACAGTCTTTGATTCCTGTTCTAGAAAGCAGCATAATATTTAATATTCCCCAAGTGGATATACTACAAGACCTGTACAGTTTGTTTATATAGTGACACCTCCCTCCTGTAAACAATAAAGGCTAGCAATACCAAAATTATTTTATAGTCATCTATAACCATCTCTTTTAATTATTTCAGATTAAAACCAGAGTTTAGACTTGCAACACAAAAGGATCAAATTATTATGCCTATGCTCCAAAAGGAAGGGTGAGGTTCTGTGTTTCAATGACATAACAACCTGTCATCAAGTACAACACGCTGCACCTTGTTAAAGACAACAAGAAATACCTTGTCAAATAATTAAGAATAACAAACTTTAAGCAGAATCTTTTATTGTGGAATGGACATCTCGAGACTTGTCTAGACCAACCCTCTTGCTCCACCAGGTCACCCAGGTACACGTCCAGTTAAGTTTTGAATATGCCTGTGGGTGGAGACCACACAACCTCTCTCACAGCTAAATAGCACTTTCTTGTGTTCACATAGAATTTTAAGTGTTTTAATTTGTACCCAATGTCCCTTGTCCTGTCACTGGGCACCAATGAGAAGAGTCTGGCTCCTGAAATTCGGGGTTTTCCCTGCTCCCTCTGCTTAGGACCCTGAATACCACCATCTCCTTGTTCCATATTGCTTCCTAAAAACATTCTACTGTGTAATTATGAGGGTGCAGTTTTATAACAATGCAAAACTTAAAAATATAGTGTGACAACCTACAAATCAAATTCACTTGCCATGCCCAAACCATGCTGATTTCCCACACTGAACCAGCACCAGTAGAGGAAAAAAAAAAAAAACCACCACAAAACAAACCAAACAAACTCAAATAGGGCTTATACTCCCAGTCCACCTCAGATTCCCGAAGTCTGAGATGCCATTACTTCTGACAAAAAAAAAAGAAACACTAAAAACTGTGCTAAGGTCTTGTTTCATTAAAAATTCAAAGTCACACTTTAAAAATAACAGTAATTATGGTTATTGTTAAGTACATGCTTGTTCAGAATTACTGGAACTTGAAATGAAACAGCTGAGATTAAAGCTTGATTAATTAGAATTAAGATTCTTGAGACTTTCATACCAGTAATCGTTTAATAAATTTAAGTTAATATGAAATAACACATCTTCACACACCACTTTCAGTTCACAAGTGTGAACCTAAACTACAACTCATACACCTGTTGGAATTTACATCCACACCCTTCAAAGCAACTTCTTTATGAAGATGAGCCTTTTGCTAACATAAGGCTAGATCATAATGCCTTCTCAACTCCTCCAGTAAACTGGAGAAGTTTAAATATATTTCTCTGGTTTAAATTAACATGCATTTCACAGAACAGTTGCTCTACTTATAAGTTGCTTTTCTATTTATAAGCTTTTCTTCAGCTTTTGCGCTGCTTTTTTCATGTTGTTTTGTGTCTTCAGAACAAAAATCTTGACTTGGTCATGGTGAAGAAAAAAAGCAGGATGTAGACTGTTCTTCTGGAAATGGCTTCAGAGTCAAATCTCTCAATAAAATAAATAAGCATCAGCACCACACAGATACTGACAACCATTAGTCAACATTAGGCAAATAAATCCTCCCGAAAACAAACCAAATGCTCAACCCCCCCTTACCTAGCATGAATGAGAGGCACGTTTATGATCGGTTCTCCATGAAGTGGTAACCCTTCCTGCACCTGCAGCTCTGCAGCGTGCCTTTCCAGGTCCTTCGTTAGCACCTGGGCAGAACAGACAGGCAGACACAAATGTAGTATCCGTGCAACGTGGATTCAATTTCCTATTAAATTGGATTACCAGACCCACTGCTGAAATCTACAGAGCCCTCTGCTGTCCACTGACCCATCTTAAACAGTGGTTTTCTGCTTCTGAACAGTTTTAAGATGCACTTTAAAGATAATTTAAAAATCAACACATTTGTTGTGTTGTCGGTGCTTGTTTAATTAAAAAAAAATATAAAGAATGCATACAATAATCTTTAATCCTGGTCAATGTGTGGTAGTCTGACTGAAGCACGAACATCTGAGAACTTGTCTGTTAAGCAGCAGTGAATTCCTACTTAGAAGGATTAGAACAGAGCTGGGAATTCTTGAACCTGCTCACCATTCACCCACCAGCTGTGCGAGGGGTGACACAGCACACAGAACTCACAGCACATTAATAAAACAGGAATGAGAACTCCCTGTTAAGTAAGTGTTAGAACTACACTTAGTTTTAATCAACTGCTTTGATGATGAACGAACAAAATGCACTAAGACCAAAGCATTTTCTAAACAGGACTGTGTGGGCCATGCAGAAGCGGTGGAGGGGTGGAAGAGTTTGAATATTGAATAAACAGTGTATTTCTGTAGGACAGGAAAACAGAGATTTGGGTGTCATAAGACAATTACCTCTAAGCCCTACCGATTCTTTGTGAGGGTTATGCTTCTGTGTATTAAAACATCATATTTACCTGATGAATTGCCAGACCCATGCAGTGCAGTATTTTCTGAGGCATGTCCCTTAATTCAGTAGATATATTTGGTATCGATTTAGTCAATTCTTTGTCTTGTATTAGTTCCTTATAATCCACAAGAATGCTTCCTTTTCTTTCTATTTCATCCTGTGAAATGTTTTAAGTTATAAAATAGACTTAAAACACACAATGCATCCAAATCACATCATAAACATTTCATATCTATAATGGAAATTATTTTTGATGGAGAAAATACATAAAATCTCTAACATTACTATACCAACAACAGGTTGGGTGTGGGGGGTGTTGTGTTTTGCTTTTACCTTATCATAAAGCTCAATGCGTTGCATGAAAAACTTTTCAAAGGCTTGAGTCTTCTGGACAAAAGGAGACTTGTCAACATAAGCTAATTAGAAACACGTTGCATTAGTAATTAATTCAATTTCACAAAATAACACAAACAAGCAATTTCTCTTCCACTAATTTTCTGCACTGCAAAACTGAGGAAGATGATAGATCTCTACAGTATCACAGTGATGTTCTATTATAAGAACTGTTACAAAACAAAACTTTGTCTGAGATGACGTAAGACAAGCACAGAGGATCAAGAAAAGCACAGCAGAGGTACATATATTCCAGTCTTGGATAGACTGCAGGTTTTATGGGGCTAATTGAACAGGTTTAAGAAAGATAGTATTTTACGCTATTCAAGATCCCTTTCCAAGGTTTGGAGACCACAGAGATTACAGCGTGCCACAAGATTGAAACCCCTATTGTATGCATGTTTCTATATAACTAATATGAATTTCAATTGCTTTCTGTTGACCTTATTCCCTCTACTTATAAACAATTTTAGAAAAAAATGGAATAAAATACTTGCTACCTATAATTTCGGTCTAAAAATACCTTCAGAGAAATAAAGTTTCCAGCCCTTATATGGAATAAACTGGTCCAACGTTGCTTGAACTAGTCGAGATCTTGCTGTGAAAAAAAGCAATTAAAATGGAGATTAAAAAAATATGAATACTGAAACCTTGCAAGTTTTATTCTCAGTGATTCTTTTGACCACCAGCGAGTCAAAAGAATGCGGTTAAAAAGCTACGTAAGTGCTCTATATAAACTTGTGACAGGACTTTGATTTAACTTTAGCTAAACTCCTCAAATTAAAACTTTATTGGGCCTTTTGCACCTGCACTAGATGTAGAAACATTTAACCAAAACTTACATCAAAGAAATGGAAATGCTGAAGGATTAGCATCTCGAGAGCTTACTGAAAGTAAACAAGGCCCATGGGAAGAGTGTACTCCCTGTCTCTGATGTAAGTATAGGATGACAAAATAAACAGTCTTTGGAATTAAGTCTAAATAAGAGCGTGTCCCAGAGGAGCCTTGGGAGATTATAATATCAAACCACATATCCTCTTATAAATAATGAGGGTGCTAATTAAGATCTCCCCAAATGTTTAAAGCATTAACTCAAACCCACATGTATGATGAGGGATGGTAAAGGAACTGTAGCTCACCCATCAGTTGTATCATATCATTATAAATGTTGGACAGTCAGAAGAGTGTGCTGTACTGGCTGTTGTTAAACGCCCAGCACCCAATTCTGCAGAATTGGAATAAAGACAAACATCTCGACTCAGTGTGTTGGCTCTGTGCACCGAATGAAGAACCTTTATTTAGGAACAACACCTGGGAGACAAACAGCAGCGATTGCCTAGCTTTAAAAAAAAAATTAAAATTAATTAATTAAGGCTTCGGGAAACAGGGAGCTGGCTCACCAGGTTCAGGCATTTTCTTGCACTGTATCTTCTGTTCTGCACTTCGCCATCCGCCTCGCCATCGGCCCCGCCAGCTCTGAGGGCCTCTTCCCCGGGCACATCCCCGCCCGCCTCTCAGGTCCCTGCTCATCTCTCTTCAGTGAGGCGGCAACAAACGGAGACAAAAACCCCAATTTTTAAATTTTTTTAATTAAATTAAAATTAAATCCGGGTTATTGGCTTGAGGAGGTGGGAGGGACAGGCCTTGAGGAGAGAGACAAGCTCCTCTCAGCCTTCCATTTTGCCGCCGACCCTTCACTTCCGGGCGCTACAGCCAATCACGAGGGAGTCGCCATGGAGAAGGAGGCGGGCCCTTTTGTTCCTATTGGCCGACTCTCCCGCCCCCCGGCCGCCTCGCCATTGGCGGGCGAGCGACGCATGCGACGCATGCGGGGCGTGCCGGCGTCGCCCGCGCGCTGCTCCCTCTCCCGGTAGCGGAGGCCGCCATGGAGGCCGGGCCGAGGCCGGGTCCGCGCATTTGTGAGGGGGATTGCGCCGTCCTGAAGCGGGACGATGTCTTCAAAGCGGTGCTTGTGCTACGGCGGAGGTGAGGGGCTTGTCCATCCCGCTTGTCGTCCTTCCCCACCCCCTCCTTTCTCCCTCCAGGTTTCGGGAGAAACACCGGCCTCGCTAGGCCGCTGTGGCGGGCGGGCTGAGAGGCTTTTATGATGCCTGAGTTGCTATGACGGGGGGAAAAAAAAAAACAAACCAAGAAAAACCCAAACGCGGGAGGTCGCCTGTGGTGTTCGTAAATATTTGAAAGGCATTTAAGATGATTTTGTGTTGTCGTTGCCCAGTTGGTGCAGGTTGAAGAGGAGAAAAGGTGCAGCAGCCTAAAAAGTGTGTCTTCATCATACTTACAGAATGGTTAGTGTTGGAAGAGGCCTTAAAGACCATCCAGTGCCACCCCCTGCCCTGGGCAGGAACACCTCCCACCAGCCCAGGTTGCTCCAAGCCCCCTCCAACCTGCCCTTGAACCCCTCCAGGGATGGGGCAGCCACAGCTTCTCAGGGCAACCTGGGCCAGGCTCTCACCACCCTCACCCCAAACAAGTTCTTCCCTACATCTCAGCTCCATCTCCCCTCTTTCAGTGTCAAACCCTTCCCTGTCGTCCTAGGGCTCCCCTCACTGATCCAGAGTCCCTCCCCATCTCTCCTGGAGCCCCTTGAGGGACTGGAAGGGGCTCTGAGGCCTCCCTGGAGCTTTCTCTTCTCCAGGCTGAACCCCCTCAACTCACTCAACCTGTCTTATCTCGCTGTGGTGTGTAGCTTCTGCAAGATGTGGCGTTGTCATGTTAATAATAGGGATTGGCTTCATTGTTCTCTTTGTTTTAGACTGTAGGAACGTGCTAGCTGTCAGTTCTGGACAGTTACTGCTTTAGAGAGGGTGCTATGAAAGGTCTCCTGTTTCTTTTCCCTGAGCCAACTGGCATAGCAAGAAGCACCTGCAGCCCAGCAGGACATCCTGTAATCGGTGGACGCAGCCTGGGCTCTTCCCCTTGCAGCAGACGGTTTTATAGACCAATGTGTACAAGTCAGTATTGAATAATGTGGCCAGATATCTGATTCGGTAGCGTGGAGATTTAAAGGTACTATGCTTGAACAAGACTGGTTTGAAAATGGCATAGCTCAGACCTAGGAGTTTGGGAGTAGTGGTCATTGACAGGCTTAATGTTTGCTTGTAGAATCTAGCAGGGAAATCAGGTAGTTACTCTGTTAGCCTGTGGAGCACTGTGAGGAGCTCTTCGTTAGCTCCCTCTTCAGTTTTTGTTTAAAACCCCTACCATAAAAGAAGGAGTGAAAAGTCAGATTAAATATTGTTATGGGAAATTAAATAACTTTTGCATTCATTTTTCCTTTTCTGTAATCTGATGAGGGTAAGGATACTTCAAGAACATGTGGCAATAGCCGTGGTTGGATATTCTGTTTAGAATGATCATCAAAATTAATTTTGACCACATGCACATAATTTTATCTATATGCTTCTCAGTCATTTCAAGTCATTTATTAGTCTTTTAAATCCGGGTTGGCAGACTTTACACAAGCAAGTATAATGCTGTTAATTTTTATGAAGAGGGTTTGGTAATAAATATCTCTGACAACTTTTTATTTTAATGCTTTGTTTAAATTCTGGATTGTATTTGGGAATACATCAATACCATGCGTAAAATATATGCGTGAATTGCATACTTCAGTCAGTAGAAAACTGGAAGTAACAACCTTTTTGCTTAGCTTCAGAACTAGTGATGAGTATAATAAGAGCTCATATTGGTAAGTTTTGATTCCTGTGGGAGTGTGGCACAGACGAGGTCATTCGACGAGGTGGGTATTTCTCTGGTCAGCAAGGAAACCCTCTTAGGTCAGCCTGAAAGTGAAAGCTGTTGTGGGTCCTTTTCTGTGTGAAGAAGGAAAAATGCAAACCTCCCTTAGTGCAACCAAAATGAAAAGGATAGTAAAATCTTTTTTGTTTGTTTGTTTTTTATTAAACATTTCTAAAATTACATGATACTCTGTGCTACTGTCTGTTTTCTACATAGTCTTTTGAGAAATGTTATTTCAAATGAGCTCTTCAAAATACAGGTTCATGCTCATCTTTTTGCACTAACCTGCATGACCCTGCCTGGATTTAATATACTTTAAATTAATTTGATTCCTTGCTAAAAAAAAATGGTGCTATATATAATTCAAGTTTTATCTGCCATTTTAGAATTCATTTGAATTGAAAAAAAAATCTAGCTGTATGCTCGATCTAAGTTTTGTTCTTTTCCTAACCAGTTTTAGTTTGGTGGTATTTTGTGGCTAGTTTCACTTTTTATGCTTGTCCTGGTTTTCTTCAAAGGTATGGATGAAAATGTCTCATATGAAGCTATAGCTTAGTTTCAACTATTGTTTGAGACATAGTAAAAATAATGTCTTTATTATTGTTAACTTTTTTATTATTTCAGAAAAATTATTTTTGAGAAGCAGTGGTTCTATCTGGATAATGCCATCGGACATACTTATGGAACTACATTTGAAGTAACCAGTGGTGGAAACCTCCAGCCAAAGCAAGAGGTGGAAGAGACTACCACAGGTATTACAGAGGATTGACTGGTTGGAAAAACAGGTTCCAATTAATTTGCTACTTGGATGATACCAAAGATGATGGAAAAGCTTTCTATTAATCATTTGTTAACTTAATGTCACTTATATTCTTTCTGTCATAAAAGTGCATGGTTTTATCTTGATCTGCTGTTTCACTAGTCCTGTAACAAATAAGCTTTTTAATACGGGAGAAAATTTGAACCTTAGTTTGGGTGAATATATATACTAAGGTATATTTTACATACTGTATTTCATTAATTGCTTAGGCAATACGTTACAAGGCCGTGAAGCATGTGGGTTTAATCCTGACAAGTCTGCTTTCTGTGAAACTAAAATCATATGTTTCTCCAACTTAAAGATATTTAGAACTAGATTTTACAAATCTATATCCTTTTCCTTTAGAAACAAAAGAAGCAGGTACAGATAATCGTAACATAGTTGACGATGGAAAGTCTCAAAAACTGACTCATGATGACATAAAGGCTTTGAAGGACAAGGGTATTAAAGGACAGGTAAAAATAAGGTTTTGGTGTCATTTCTGTGCTACCTTGATGGTTATATGGATTATGAAATAGGCTATTCTTTTTATTGGTGCATAGACTTCAGTGCTTTTTCTTTTGTTCTTCTGCCCAAGTCATGTTTTTTCCTAAAGATCTGTTTTCAGAGAAAACTTCATGTAAGGTTGGCAACTTTGTCAATAGAGAGTAAAGTATAAATTTTTACCCCCTCAGAAGTTGTAACAGACAAAAAGAAATATTAAAACTGTTACGGAAGTAAACTCGTGTAACCACCTTTCAGTTTTGTTTGTTTATAACATTTAAAATATTATTTCTATATTACATGTATTAAAATCATGCAATAATCGAACTGCCAAAGATGTAGGAAAGGATTATGGATAAATACTGTTGTATTAACAAGTAACACTAACAACTGTACTATGGGTGTGCCTCTAGGTGATACCTCCAAATACATGTGAGGCCTGTGTTTTATCTGCACCTCAAAAGCTAAGAATATTCTCAAGAGACAAGTTCTGTTCTGACAGAAAAGGGATTTGGATTTTGTAAAAAAAACCAAAAACAAACAAAAAAAAACCCCAAACAAACAATAAACCAAAAAAAAACCCAACCAACCAACCAAAAAAGATGTGAAGCCATCTTAAATGTTAATAAACCATTGCAGCCCGTTCTGTTCTGCACATGTTACCAGGCAAAATTCTCTCTCATCTTTGGTTTATTCTTTCTAATAAAAATAAGAAATTGCTCATGCTTACATCAAGTTCATCTCTTTTGCCTGCTTAATCATGGGTGGGTCCAAGGAGTTTAGGATGGTATTTCTTCTGTTTCCATGGTTGTGCTGCTTGTGGCGCTGTCTCTTTGAGAAGAATGTACTAATTGGTCTGATAGCTTTGACATTTTCTGTTTGTTCTCATTATCCGTGGCAGAAGATCACTCTGGCTTTCTTGTATGTCCTCAGCATGTCTGTGCCCTGCATCTACCATACTGTTATTTTAGGTTATTAAAATATCCTACTTTGTTAACTCTGGCTTCTGAACTGTAGCTGAACATTAATTTTAAACTGTGCTGTGTTAGCAGCAATAGGTATTATTCTTCCGTAAATGTAAAATTTGAATTCATATTTGTGAATGGCATGTCTTTGGGATGCAGGCTCCCTTTAGAGATGATTGTTATTGGAAATAAACCCACCTCAGTGTTAATGGGGTTTGATTTCCCATCACTTCCCAAATCCTTCCCAGGTTAGGATGCAGACATGAAATGGTGTGTACTCCCAGGGCACTGCAGAGTGCATTTTTAGTATTTGAAGGACTTTTAGAATTAACAGCGTGAAAAATACCAATAGACATTGAGAAGTACTTGCACCACTGTGTTTTGGAGCAGACTCTTAAAGCCCACATTGAAAATACTCCTGTTGTCATTCCTCACCACCACCCTCTCCAAACTCCTGTGAGGAAAGGTTATACTATTGCTCTTCATACATAAGTTTTTTTTCATAGAAACTTAAAATTTTAGCAGTTAAACTACCTTGATCACATCCGAAATAGCACCTTGCAGCATTTGTTCTTGTATTGCAGGCCTGGAGACAAACCCTGAGCAATGAGAGCTATTTGCTGTTGGAGGTCTTAATGATCCCTCCGGCTGGAACCTGAAAGTTTGAGGAAGAAGAGTTGAATTGGCAAAGGGAAGAGATTAGAAAAAGGAGGCCAGGAAAGAAAAACTGGAGTTCTGGGAAAACCTGGGAGGTAGAGAGAGAACTCATGGGGAGTGTTGCAGAAAATAGTACATACTACAGAGTTTTGACGTTGTGCAAGGAGCTGGTGCAGGAGTCTAGCACAATTTGGGAGGCAGATGAAATTAGGTGGGGTTAGGGAGGTGTCTGATAAGTAGCCAGAGTATAAGAGAAGAAATAGCACAAGATGGAAATAAAATACCCTCAGAAATAGAGATGCTAAAGTTAGACAAGAGACCCAAGGAGGGAGTTGGGTTCAAGTAAATAATTGCATGTGACATCAGGGTCCTTGTTCTGGTTTGGTTTTGTAAAATATTTTTGCCTGTAGAGCTTCCCAGGGTACTGCCATGCCTTCCAGTTCCTATGGGGAGCGTTAGACTGACAGGCTACATGTTGGTTGTTCCATAATAACAACAACATAACTCTGCTTCATTCTAAATACAGGACAATTAAAAGTAGCTAATCACTTGGAGAAAGCAGGGTAGTCTCGTTCGCGGTCAGCGTGGGATAAGAACACATAGGGAGTGAGGCTTCACAGGAAGGGATGAAGGGATGGCTTGCTGATGCTGAAATGAACAATCCTGCTTTTTCTTCGTTTCTGGCCACAAGGGTCTGCCCTCTCTCATGAGTTAGTTCTGGCACCCACCAGACTCCTTCCCCACGAAATACCCCATTTTCAGGATAAGCATTTTATCGTCTTCATGCTGACATTATGAAGTAAAAAAACCACCTAGAGGCAAAAGTATATGATTAAATTCCTGCACATAGTCAGGGTAGTGCCTCACTTCTCATGTTGTTTAGTAGACGTTGACTTTGCCTTTAATGGCAGTAGAAGTTAATGGTATACATGCTTCTACTGGAAAGAAATATTTTCAGTGTTTGCTTAAAGAAATACTATGTATGAAATGAATCAGAAAAAAAATACCAGCTATAATGAAAATAAATTGTCTTTTCCAAGGAAATAGTTCAACAGTTAATAGAGAACAGTACGACATTCAGAGACAAAACAGAATTTGCTCAAGATAAATACATAAAGAAGAAGAAAAAAAAGTAAGTGAATTTTAAAATGTGGAAAATACTTAGTAGTTCCCTAATTTGTTGAGCTTGAAATAAGGCTATTACTATGTGTGTCTTACAGATATGAGGCAGTTATTACAATTGTGAAACCATCCACTCGCATTCTGTCAACAATGTATTATGCAAGAGAACCTGGAAAAATTAAGTAAGTTTTCATTCTGTTTCTTTTTTCAAATTATAACAAAGGTGTTTCAATAATTTGCGAGCTACCTGTATTATACCAGAGTACATAATACTCACCACATTTCTTCTTTTTTTCCTGATAATGGAAAGATTTTAAATTAATGAAAAAATAATGTGATCTAGAAGGTGAATCAATATGATCTTGCAGTGAAGAGAAAGCTCTGACCGTACAGCAGCAGCTTTTGCCACTTCCCTGCCACCACTGCCTTGCTAATTACCGGTGTAGACAGAGGCTCTTTGTGTTTTCAGAGATTTTGGTCAGTGGCTTCGTCTCTGGTTTCCGGTTCAGTAATGAAAACAACAAGCCACCTACCAGAAGCAGACATTTTTGTCTTTAATGTGTTAGGGATTCAAAGTCGTGTTCAATCACAAGTCTCCAGAATTTAAAAGCCTGTGGTTAACACTGACGGGCGGGAGCAGGAGAGCAGTGATGACAGAGATAAAGCCGTGTTTGATTTTCACTTACCTAAATTAAATGGTGCGTCATTACAGACATTGTTTAAGAAGGACTGATTTATTGTTTTTAAAGTAGTAAAAGTAGATCTAAGATGCTGAGACTTAAAAAACCTCAAACTTATGTTATTTAAGGCTTCTCAAGCTTTTTTCCTTCTCTTCCCCCCATCTCCTTCACTTGACTGTATTTATCTATTAAGATTAGTTGTCGTTTCCTTGGCCATCCCTGAGTCTTGTCAGTGCAGGCGCTGCAATGCCGAGGGTTAGATGTTGTTTGGGTGGTGCCTGCTACTGAAAATCACTGAGGATACATTCCTGGATGAGGAAATGCATTCAAATACCATTTGAATGGTTCTTTACAAAACTGAGAACAACACAAATTTGAAAAGAAGTTTAGAAAATATTACGTCTGGCTGGCATAGTGTGAGATGTGCGCTTCGTTATAAGCAACCTACTTCATATTCTGATTTTGCTATTTTCTTTGTGAAACTAATTTGCAGTAATTCTAACTCTAAGAAAACTAAATTGGATGTTTCCTAAAACCCTCTGTCTTCCAGCCACTTGCGATATGACACCCTGGCTCAGATGCTGACTCTAGGAAACATCCGTGCTGGCAACAAGATGATTGTAATGGAAACGTGCGCAGGCCTCGTGCTGGGGGCGGTGATGGAGCGGATGGGAGGTCAGTAGGGTGGCAGCTTTTGGTTCATGCTTACTAGAAACTTAAGAAATAAACATCTCTGTGAGATTTCCAAAAGGTAGTAATTAAAAAAAAAACTTTCTCAGTTTTTAAAAGGTACTTTTACTGTCTCCAGTATTCGAAAAGATGCAACTTTCTCCAATGGAAATACAAGTATTTTGCATGTTTCAGTTCGATTTATTTTCCACTATTTAAAAAAAAAATATAGGAAATTTAAAGTTGCTATCACTGTCTGTTGATCTGGTTTAGTTTCAGTCTCAGTATAAGGACACTGTGTTCAGAAGAGGCTGTAAGGAGCCCATGTGCAGCTTCTTCCCAGGCACTTAGGAAGTCCAGGAAATAAATGGCAGAAAACACTGGAATTCGGACAGCCCGCAGCACTGAAAATGTCATTCCTTGTGGTCACTGCACCAAAGATTTAACCTCTGCAAAACATGTATTTTAAAAGTAGTATATTATGCTTTCTTGAGAAGTTTGACTTGGTTTTTATTTCTCAAGCTCAGTTAATTTGTTTCATTGTAAATCCTTCAAAGACACTAAACAGAGATGATGACAATTCTATTCCCGAAGCCTGGAAAGGTGGGAAGTGTGAGACAGTGTTGTGCAGCCAGATGTGCTGTCTGGTGGCTGAGAAGCACACAGGCAGTTATACTATAAATTGTTCTTGTTTCAGCAATTTTTGGCCGTAGGGATACTCTCTGAAGTGAATTAAATAAGATGCAATTTCAATATATCTATTGAAAAGTTCTTTTTAGTATGTTTAAACGTCTGACATCTCTTCCTTTAGACTCTGGATATTGTAGAAATTCTTTGCATATTAATGCTGTTTATATTAGCTTTCACTTTTTTTTCAAAACCACTCCATGGTTATAAGTAACAAATACTGTAGAAAATTGACATTTTAATTCTTATTTTAATTAGCTTTTCTAACAATTTGTCACTGCTTACATGTTCTGTGCTAATCCTAAATACATGTTTAATACATGAATAACCTTTGAGTTACCTTGTCCTTCTGAGTTGCAGTAACTGTTGTCCTTCCCATAAAGATTTTCTACCTTGAGGCATACCTTAGCAGCCTGTTAAATTTGATTAAGGTTAGAGTAAGAGCAGGCAATTTACTTACCTATTCTTAAATGTCTGCTTTGTTGGTCCCAGAAATCCTGGCTTTCCAATGTGTTTTTGATTTTTTTGCTCTCCTAGGCTATGGATCCATTATTCAGATGTATCCAGGAGGGGGACCCGTTAGAGCTGCTACCAGTTGTTTTGGATTTCCTAAACCTTTTTTCGATAATCTTCATGAATTTCCTCTCAGCAAAGTGGATAGTCTCCTCTCGGGCACGTTTTCTACAGAGACTCTGCCTTCTGAACCTGAAGAGAACACGCTGGTGGAAGAAGAAAGCAATGGACTGACTGATGAGAAGCAGATTTCACTTCAGGAAACAGAAGAGGAATCCACTACTGAAACAGCCATGGAGATCAACCAAACAGAAGAGCAAGACACAATGGACATGAATACTGAGGATGGAGAATTTAAAGAGAACAAAGAAAAAGAAAGTAAAGACAATGTAAGAATATTTATTGTGGCTATTCAAGTTTTACAATGTCTATATACTTAAAATTCTGCCATCTGCATCACGCTGAAATAAAGCTTATTCAGGTGTTAAAGCTGAACTCTGGAAGTTGTCTTTTGTCTTCCATTAAACCATCTAAGATACAAAAAATAATAATTCAGTCCATGCAATAGTGATCCAATATATAATTACCAATTAAAGTACAAACTGTTTGTTTTGTTGTTCAAAGGTTCGGGAAAAGCAAAGAAAACAATGGGAGAGAAGGAGAAAGCTAATAGAAACTGCTGCTTTGTTGACAGAGAAGAATGCTGATGGGTAAGTTTGTTTGGAGTCAGAAAGCTCTTCTGTTTTAAAACGTATCTACAGAAACTAATTCTCTTCAAAACATTTGTTTTTAAAATACCCCAGGTTTTTTCTTAATATTTAAAAGCGAGCAGTTAACCCAGGGGTGTCTTTAGTCTTGTTTGGTTCTTAACGTTTTGAGATTTTTTCTGTTATTTAAATTAATTTAATGATCTAAAAGTCATGGTTTCCTGACTAGCTATAAGTAAACATTAAAAAAAAAAATTCTATCCAAAGAGAAACAGAATCCAGGTAGAATTTAATACAGAATGACTGCTGATAAAAATCACAGGATTCCAATTAGCGAAGTAGGAGCTGAGGTTTTAAGTTTATTACATTGGAGTTAAGTTTGTTGGTTTGGTTTGTTTTCAGAAACTCGTTTCTTTTTTATGCAGGAAGAAACACATAACTTCATTTTACCTGCTTCACCCAGGCTTGATTGTTCACAAGGAACAATTTAACATGAAGATTTAATACCAGCCGTTTAAAACAAATACAATAAACATATTCCTAGAAATTCAGCCCCACAGTAGTGTAAGAGCACTTGGTGGCTCTGACTTTTTCATGATGTTCTTAGCAAATGCTGAAATGTTTTGAATTATTCAAGTAACATTGATTTAGTTAATTCAATAACATTCATATTCATTTTGTCCTCCTAAGAATATTGGCTCCCTGGGAATAAAGCTGATCTGCTGGGATGAATTTTAATACACATTTATTGATTGTATTTAAATGCCTGTATATAATTTTTGGTTTTATTATTATTATGAAATGTTTTACCTCACGCTCATTCATATTTTAGTATATTTAAATGGTAGAAATTTAAAGTGCAAAGATGCAGAAACAGGTCATTCTGTGTTCTCTGAAGCGATAAAGCTGTAAGGGAGGTTTGTGGAAGTTCTGCCCATCCGTGTGGCAGCAGCAGCACCACTGGAGATGCCTCTGGGTGGCCGTATGGCAGGTCAGGCCTGCACCCATCGTTATAATGAATGTCTGTGCATGGTCTGGCAAAGTGAAAATTAATATTTGACTTGATTCTTCCTGTGGTGTAGAACAGCGTGTTTGGCTGTTGGTGAAGTTTGAGTTCGAGGAAGCCCATTTAGGATTTCTCTCTCATTCGTTTGTTTTGAGTCACTCATCAACTCCTTTTGTCCTTTGTAACGCATGAAATCTGTAACAAATTATGAGTGAGTTCTTGCTCCAGGAAGTCTTCAGCACGATGGGGAGGAAGAGAAGTCCATGGTTGCCTGAAGGCCCTGTCCCAGATGGCTCAGTCAGGATCACCTTTCTTTAGCCATCAGCCTTTTAGAGCCCACTGTTTTGTTTGGATCAAGAACCACAGGGTACACACACTGCTAAGCCAGGAAAATCTGGCCTGGAATAAAGAAATGCTTCAAACTAACAAAACCTTGGCCCGTGAGCAGAACCAGGGCAGGAAATTAGGGATTGGGTTTGTTTTGCAAGAGAGAAACAGGGAAAGGGTAGGTAGAAGCTGGTTGACGGTGGTGGTGGGGAGAAAGATTGGGACTTGCTGTCTGAATTTTAAAAAATGGTCATTAGGTAAAGATGGCCACCGACTTCAGAATTACTTCTTGAGGTGCTGAATTTTACAATATTTACTACTTAATGTAGAAGATAAAATTTTAGTAATGTTTGTCTTCTGTGCTGTTATGTGGTAAGCCAGTCCTTCCGCTAGACCTGCTCAGTTCCATTTATGAGAGCTGAAGTTTGTCACAGGTCCTCGAGGGGGAGGAAAGCATGGCATTTGGTATTGTTCCAAAGAAGACTTTTTTTAAGATAGACTATTAAATTTTTCTGATACGGTGAAAGCAGAAATCGGTTTATAGACGCTCTGTGTGTTCAGAATTAGACTCCACACCCTCTCTCTACCCTTCCTCTCCTGCATCCTCCTCCTCCTCCTCCTCCTCCCCTCTCCCCTGTCACACTGATTGCGCGGCTGGCCGGGCTGCCTGCTGACAGCAGTATGTGCTGCCATATGAGGGGACAGGGTTTGATTTTTGGCAGCCTCTGCCATCTCCTGCTTCCCTTCCTGTTGACTGGCAGAGCTCCTGGCACCCCACGCCTCCTGAGGCACGCTCTGGGGTCTTGTTTTCTTTATGGTCCACTTGGTTAATTACTGAGCACGCATTTCTTTTTTTGAAGTTTGGAATGAGGGTTAAATAAGGCCGTGGCCAACAGAGAACCGAAATGGAAACAATTGTAAAGGAATTGTCTCACCTCTTTATCTCTAGAGCGTTTAGAAAATTGAACATCCATTTTTACCTCCCTTTTGTTAGGGAAGTTTGACAGCATCTCCAGTGCTATACAGTCCCCTGGAGAGCAAATCTTAGTTAATTGATGGGTCACTAGAGAAGTAGATTAATTAGTGCATTCTTTCTGCACAAGTACAACTTATTAACTCATTGAATCTTACCTATTTCTTGCAGTATAGTTTAACAGTGCTTTTTTTCTTATTAAAAACTCTAGATACCTATAGACAATCTTAAGCATCTGTAAATATGAGTGACAATGTGATATTAAAATGAGGATGAAGAATGAAACATGAAGCCTTTAAGTTAGCAAAGACATTTCTTTTTAAAAGGTTTTTAGTTGTCCCCACTAAGCGATTGTTTCCTCTTTAAATAATGACTTCTTAATAGAAAAATGTATTTTATGAAGATTACCCAGTTCAAAGAATCATGACTGAGGTTACAGCCCAAGCAGCAGTTAGCAGTTACAAAATTGAAATATTTGGACAATGGTCTTAGGGCAGAGAAAGCAGCATGCAAATTTTGGGGTGGTAAGAATGATTGTGGAGCTCACCACAGCTGCAGTGAGTGCTTCTGCAGGGCCTTTAATACACTGCACTTGAGGGAACAAGTGCTTTATCCTCTTAATTATGCAAGCAGGAAATCATGATTTGTTTTTCTATTTGGGGAGTTGTTAGAGCCGGGACAACATGCTGATTAGCAACAGTTAAGCTATAATTGATCGCTGTGCTAAGTAGGAGAAATTATCACTTGATGAATAGGTTTTAGAAGCAGAAAACTAATGCGTGTGAAATTTGTTTTGCAGCTTAATTGTAGCCAGCAAGTTTCACCCCACTCCATTACTGCTTTCTTTACTGGAATTTGTTGCTCCTTCCAGGCCTTTTGTTGTCTACTGCCAGTATAAAGAGGTAAATCGAGTGTGTTATTTTAGCTGTTATAGTTCAAGTTTGAGACTATTCTGCTGTATAACCTACTGTTTGGGTTTTTTAAGCCATTATTAGACTGTTACACGAAGCTGAGGGAAAGAGGCGGTGTCATTAACCTAAAGCTGTCGGAAACCTGGCTACGGAACTACCAGGTAAGGATTGCAGTAAGTGGCTGCCAAACAGCATGAACACTGGGGCTCAAAACTCTCCAAAAACAGGGGCTTTGGACTGGCTGACACTCTGCATAAGCTCATGCATTGGTTTTACCTGAGAGCAAGTGGGAAAATACTCCAAGAGGTTTAATGCTTCATTGCAAGAACTGCAAATGGAAATACTTCTTTTGTTTCTTACAAAGCATTTCATTTAAACGTTTGCTGAAGTATCTGTAGCAGGCTGAGAGCTGGGAGAGTTGCTGTGCTGTAGTGGCTGGTCTGAGGTGAGGGACCATCTCATGTCGTGTAAGAGAGATGTAGCAAAATATTACAAGTGTTTATTCGGTTCTGGCTGGTTTGAGAGCTGAAAAAAAATACGTAATGTTAAGAATTGTGGTGACTTACAAAGTCAGAGTCTTCAAAGAACACATTTCCTGGAACTAAAGTAACAAGAAGTTTCCATTCACTTCCGGGAACTGAACAACGAGAAGATGAGAAGGGAAAGCATCTCCATGGCAATAAATGTCAGTTCAACTAACTTGGTTTGAACAGGGACTAACTTGGTTTGAACAGGGACTAACTTGGTTTCAACAAGGACTAACTTGGTTTGAACAAGGTGTTTGCAAACAGGGAGTACCCTCTCAGCTAGGGGGAAGCAGAAGCACATCTTCTGAGCAGCTCAGCACCTCTGCAGAGGGGTGACTTAACTGGGTGGTCACAATTACTGACTGTTGATGAGACCATCAAATTGGGAATGATGAGGAGATGGATCAAAGATGTTCCCATGGGTTGGGCTTGGCAAGGGTTGCTGTGGGGAGGTGCAGGCAGGGTCAAAACTGGGCACAGGTCAGTGGCTCAGACCATCAGGAGGAAGCGTAACTGAGGAGAAAACCTTGGCAGAAGAGTGTGATGGAGCTGAAGGCCATGGGTCAGTGCTGTGTCTTACCCTGAGAGTAGCTAACAAAGATCTTGGTGACGGAATGGAAATGACCGATGACTGACTGCTGTTTCCTTAGACCAGCTGTGGTTTCTGGCAGAGTACACCAGCACTGAATATGTTCCTGAGATTTTCATGTAACCTTGGCTTTATACTTCTGGAAATGCCACAAAGAAGTACACAAGACTACAGGCTGCTGCCTCACTGAGTATTTCTGTACCTGGTTTCCAGAATGCAGATACTTAGCTCTTTAAAGATAAATACACTTTCCAAATGGCTGTTTGTTGTGGTGGCTGGAAAAAAAGGTCACATCTTATACTATAAGCTTAAATTACGCAATTTGATGTCCTTGTATAGAATGAGTTTTTACAGATGCTTGGTTTTTTTATTTGTTTGGGTTTTGTCTTTTTAAAGGTCTTACCAGATCGAAGCCATCCCAAACTGACGATGAGCGGTGGCGGAGGGTACCTTCTGTCCGGTATAACCGTTGTCCTGGATGAGGGCAAATCTGATTCCAGTCACTTAGAAGCACTGAAGATGGAAGAGCCATCCTCTAAAAGATGCAAAGTTCAAGACCTTCACTGTTAACACTTGAAGAATTGATTTGGTTTTTAGATCTCAGGAGCCTCACTGTTGGTAAAAAAGCGATATGCTTTCTGTGCTGTCGGCGGCGCAGCGACGGTGCCTGTCGTACAGCCCTCAGCAGAGAGCAGCAGAGCTGCTTCCCATCATCACAACGAGGAGCAAAACCCTTGGAAGCAAACATCACACCGAAAACACAGTCACTTCAGAAGGAAGAGAAGATCAAGAGAAGATGAGGCATCAGAGAAGGTGTTCTGTTTGCTGCCACAACTGGGTGTGATGAAGTAGGGTTTTTTAATTTGTTTTTTTTTAAAAGGTTGAGTCTGAATCAACACATCTCACTCGGCTTCCCCTTTTCCCTGAACAGCCTCAGGGAACAGCATTCTGCGTCGTGGTCTGTGCCCTCTTTGGGCACGGACCCCGGCTGCTTTCAGTACTTTAAGGAAGCAGAGTTAATATCAAAAATAATACCCTTTTTTTTTTTTTCCAAAGGAACAATAAAAAGAGAATACTAATACCAAAACTTGACAGCATGACCCCGTGTTTTCCTGAAATAAATACAGAAGAGGAAGTGCATGTGCGTAAATTAAAAAAAAAACAAATATCTAAACAGAATGTCTCTATTAGTATTGCCTGTCATTTTCCTGAGAGTTGTTATATGTTTTTATTTTAAAATACGGCTATTTTGAAACCCGCTCTATGTACATATATTTATTCTACTGTTTTATCTCTCATGATGTGTAGCTTTTTTTATTGATTTTTTTAACTTTGCATTTGCCTCATCGATTAAATGGCAGGATGTTTTTCCTAATGAGATTTATTTTGGTTTTCTTACTTTCCCCTCCATTTGGAAATGAAGAGGTCCAGCAGGGGCTTCAGGAGGAGAATACCCTCCCTCACTGCGCCCCATGGAACCCCCAGTGGGAGCTTTCGGCCCAGATGGGAGCTCTTGGAGTCAGCACATTCCCTCATCACTGGGAATCTGGAGCTTTCAGACTTTGATAAAAAAAAAGTTCTAGTCTTACCCACCCCAAAAATGGTGATTTCCAACTCCTTCCTGGTGCTGGAAAAGTCTGGTGAAACCATGGTCCTGCTGAAGTCAACGCTCTGTCACCTACTTTGAGCCAGGATACAACCTTTGCGCACCTTGACCAAACAAGCTGAACCATCTTTGTGGTCTCACCACCATCCCCGGGCAGAGACAGACAGAATTCAGGGAGCGGTAGCTCAGTGCCCATTTCCTAGTGCCTTGCAGTTAATTGGAGAGTGTGTTTGTGTTTTAACGAGCGGGTGGATGAACCGGGTTAAGCTGAGATGACAGATACTGCACATTTACTGATAAGGTGGCTCAGCTCTGTGTGGCCTCTCTCCTCCACGCAGGGTGTGATACAGGCATCTGAAGACACTGCCACAGCAGAAAGGCTGTAAAAAAAGCACCTTTTGATAAGTTAAATTAAATTGAACCCGAAGTATATGTTCCAGTAGAGGGACATAAAGATGCTCCAGGGGCTGGAGCCCCTCTGCTGGGAGGGGGGGCTGAGAGAGTTGGGGGGGTTCAGCCTGGAGAAGAGAAGGATCCGGGGAGACCTTGGAGCCCCTTCCAGTCCCTCAAGGGGCTCCAGGAAAGATGGGGAGGGACTCTGGATCAGGGAAGGGGAAGGAGCTGAGATGTGGGGAAGAACTTGTTTGGTGTGAGGGTGGTGTGAGCCTGGCCCAGGTTGCCCAGAGAAGCTGTGGCTGCCCCATCCCTGGAGGGGCTCAAGGCCAGGTTGGAGGGGGCTTGGAGCAACCTGGTCTGGTGGGAGGTGTCCCTGCCCAGACTGGATAGTCTTTAAGGTCCCTTCCAACCCAAACCATTCTGTGATTCGATTAAATTAATTAGCATTCCTTCTTACTTCTCGTGCTTTTGCTAACTGGCAAATAGAAGGCACGTAAGGAGGGGCCTTAGGACTTTTAAGAAATACCGGTGAACTCCAAGTCAACGTTTTGTAGCCCATCTCTGCCTCTGATAGAGCTTGCCTTGAAATAACCCCATCAGTCAAACAAGCAAGGAGAAAGTTTGGTCCAAGATCAATGGTTTTTATTATTTCAAACTCAGACAGATATATTTCTGAAGAACACTAACACAAGTATTTTCCACAAGCATATTAAAAATATCTGCCTCGCATGAAAGGTTATAATACTAAAATTCATGCTATTCAGAATCCCAATAGCATAATAGCAAATGAAAGAGGTTTTCAGCTGTATAAATCACTACGCTATAGTGGACGGTAAGTAGGATTTCCTGGTTTTAGGGCAAACAACAATCCGGTGGCAGTGAATTTACCACGAAACGCAGGTGTTGGGGGTACAGCTACACCCGGCCCTGAAACGCCGACGCAGGTGGTCGTCAGCCCCTCCTGTTGTCATTGAACTTCTCAGCTATCTTCTGCAGCTCCAAATCCATGGCCGCCAGGTTCTCCAGTTCCTTCTCCTGCGGAAACGTAAAGAGAGTTTTACACATCAGGTAACGTGGGCAGAGGTTTTGTTCCACGAAAACGAGAGACAAAAGACCTTTTGGGAAGCAGACCCCTCATGCCCCTTACTGCTCCTGGGGCAGACCTCACAGCAGCGCAGCACACGCTTGGGAGATCCGTGCAATTTCCTGCTTTTAAACCAAACTAGGGCTGGGGAAATTGTCAAAATCCTCAAAACTGAGAGCTGGCCCCAATTACAGCTTCATGTTTTTCGCTCTAAAGCGCCATGGTCTAGTGGTGACCTCCTGCCACCTCGCAGCCACCGCCCCCAACAGTCCCTCCTGTCCAGGTGATGGTCCCTTGGGAGGCTACAACCTCATGGTGGCGGTTCTCCAGGCTCATGACACAGCCAGCAGAGCGTGCAGCAAGAGAAACATCTCCACCTTACCAGATGTTAGGGATGGGGGGGGAAAAATTGTGCAACCATTCTTGTTTACGATGATGACTTGCTAATGCCGATTAACCTCTCTATAAATGAGGATTGAACCTCCAGTGGTCCCAGCCCAGTGCTCCAGGTAGAGCGATGGGCAGGAGGAACACGCAGCTGATGGGTGTAGACCCAGTTTTCCTGGACACCAAAGCAGGACAAGAAGCCCAATGAGAAAAGGACTCACGTACATGGGAACTACAGGGGGGAGTGGGGGTTACAAGCACAAGCCAGGTCCTGCTCCACCATCACAGCCAGGAAGTCAAGTCAAGGTGTAGCTGATTTTCACCCTAAATGCCCAGCTGACCTCTCAGCTGCACATTTCAAACAGCCCGAGTGACCCGGTGGTGCTGGTTAATTACCCCTCTTTAGCTTTGTTTTCTTTGTCTGCCAGACCCTAGAAGGAGAGTTTAGAGCCCACGGGAGGAAAATCTGCTTTCTCTTCCTCTCTTGCAGCGGACAAAAGCTAATGAGGAGGCACATTATTCTACAGACCCTGCCCTGGGGTAGTTTCCACTGAATTCATTCAAAGAAAGCAGATTTTTAAATCGCTGAAGATCTGGCTCTCAACGTGACAATCTGGTTTGCGTTTTTTCCACACGGAGTTCCCCAGTTCCTAAGTCCATTAGGAATGGGCTGAGAAAAGGTCCAGAGAAAGGCCTGCACACCTACCTCCTCTTCCGTCAGAGGTCTCTGCCGCAGGCTTCCCCTCTCGGTCCTGACGACGTGACGTTTCCTCACCTCTTCCCCAGAATGGTACAGCTCCGGGAATTCAGCCGATTTCTTCCTATAACTCAGCAGCTGTGCCAGCTGCTCCATCTTGCTGTCCTGCCTTCTTGTGTCGTACCTGTTGGCTTTGCCAAGATTCCTCTTCTCGGTGCGTCCGTGGTTCAGAGCACTCAGGAGCTGCTTTTTCTCCCACCAGTCGTAGTCGCGATATTCAGGGAAAAGACTCTTCTGGCTCAGGGGGGACCTGCCTTCTGCTTTGCCCTCCAGAAGCTGCTCCCCTGCACCGTCCCTCTTCTCCAAGTGCCGGCTCTTCCACCAGAGCAGTGGGTAGAAGGGGCTGTAGGACGCCCTGGTTCTCTTCTCAATCTCTGCCGGGAGACGGCTTCTATACTCTTCCCTCTCCACGTATCTTCCCTCCTCTGTGTTCTCCTCTTCATTTTCCATCTGATCACTGCTGCGATGCTTCTCTTCTACTTCCTCCTCCTCTTCCTCCTCCTCCTCGCTGTTCCCAGGGTAGCGCTGCTGCTCTACACTGTCCTCATTGCCATAGTGTCTTCTGGCCTGCCCTTTGCGCTCTCGAGCGTAGGCGTTCTGTGACCCTTCATCTTCATCATCCCACAGGTGGTACCTCCCTCCAGCACGATGCTGCTTGTCCTTGCTGCCACCGCTGAGATACCTGTCCAGCTCCTCCTCACTTTCCTCTCCGAGGTACGTCCTTCCCTCGGAATGGTGCCTCCTTGCCTCCTGTGACCCGTCGTGGTGTCTCCTTTCCTCAAGCCATTTCTCATTACTTTCTTCGCTGTGGTGACGCCTCTTGTTCTCCTCTTCACTGCTCTCCTCGCTCTGCTGCCACCTTTCTCTGTACTCCTCGTTTCCCCGGTCTGCACGTCTCTTCTCCTCCACCTCTTCAGACCCACGCCTCCCATGATAGCCACTCTTCTCCTCACGCTGCTGCTCAGACTCCTCGTGATGTTTCTGATGGTGGTTCCTTTTGTCCCAGAGACGAGCCTCCTCCTCTGTGTTTGACTCCTCAGCCAGTTCCTCCTTCTCCCCACCGCGGCTCCTCTTCTCTTCAGAGGAGTCACCCATTCTGTGTGTCCCATGATAACCTTTGGCTCTGTAGGGTTGCTTTTCTTCCTCCGTTTCTTCACTCTCATCAGATTCTTCATGCTCTTGCTGATGGGAGAAATCGCGTTCCTCAGACTCATGGTGGTATTTTTCACTTCTTTCTTCCTCTGCCTCTCCCTCCTCACCTTCATGAACTCTTCTGTGAGGGCTCTGCATCCCCTCCTCCGGATGCCAGTGGCCCGTGGGGCTCTGATCCTTCCCATCAGGGAACTCCTCTGCGCTTGTGCCTCCAGAGTGGGACTTCTTGTTGAGAAGAGCACGCTCTGCCTCTTCGTCGTGACGCCTGCTCTCTTTGCTTTCTTCTTCACTCTGGTAGCTCTTCTCCTCCTCTCCTCGGATTTCCTGATAGCGTTTCTTTTCTTCCATCTGGAGTCTCTCTCCTCGAAGAGACGAGTGGTGTCCATCCTCCTCCTCTTCCTTGCTTTTAACTTCCTGGTGAGCAAGTTTCTCCTCGTCGCTTCCTTCCATGTACTTTTTAGATTCCTCTTCTGCCTGACTTTGCTCTTTCTCCACGCTCCCGGGATGATGGTTTTCAATCTCTGCCGGGTCTTTCAAGTGCCTCGCTTCAAGCTGGTTGTTCTCGCTTCTCTCTCTGTCGTTTCTCCCACCTGCAATGACAAGAGCAGCAAAATGAAGGGATGCGACTCTCCCCTGAAGCATTACTTTGGTTTCAGCAATTAACTGTCTTCCCAAAGTAGCAAGAAGATTTGGACAGAATTATTTATTTTTTTTTCATTCTGCTTTTAAAACCAGTCATTTTCTAATATTTTCCATATTTGTCTGGAAAAGCATTACCCAATTTTCATTTAATTAGGCATTTTAGAAGTTCCACTGACATTTCCAGAATAAATTTTCCTCTTTGGCTTTTTCCTTTCTTTGTGGTCACATTTTTGGTATTGAATTAAATTAGCTCTCGGTCCCATTAAAAGTCAATGGGATCTGGAGTTGTGTTCAGTTCTTTGAATGTTAAGCCTTATCCCCCAGGTAGGCTCACTCACAAAAAAAGGCAACTATTTCTTTCAAGAGATTTGAAAATATCTAGGGCTTTTAGCAAATTTTCAAAGTTCTAAATTGACTGGAGAAAGAAGGAGGAAAAAAGGAGGAGGAAAAAAGAAGGAGGAAAAAAGAAGGAGAAAAAAAGAAATCTGTTACTTTGCAATAGTTATGTTTAACAAAATTATGCTCCTTCCACTATTTCCAAAATGCTAAATGGAAGTCAGACTCTGACCACAATAATGATGTATTTCTATGAAGATATTTCCACTTCACTTGTGTCTGACCAACATCAGAAACAGATCACAAATCCTAAAAGTGTTCAGACAAGAGCCACACAGATTTTAAAACAGCTCATTATTTCTGAAAAGCTTCTCACTGTCTGATATTCTTGAAGGAGACCTGTCCAAGGGCAAAAACATGGTCCTTACCCTCTCCTTCCAGTAAGTGTTTTTTCATTTTCCAAAACATGGCAAATATATGGTTGGGTTTTTTTCCTGAAACTAACAATGCCATAAACAAAGCTCAATGCCTGATGGCATTCCACATCTCCTAGAAGTGTATTTCCAAAATTTCCATGTATTCCCAAAGCCCCAAGCCCACCCTCTTCTGATGCCCGTATCAGGGCCACGCATTGTTCTCCCAAGCAGGAGACGGGTGGGTTTCGTTATTCTTTCTTGCTGGCAGGTAAGTTCAAGAGCCTATTTATATTTTTTTTGGTTACAGAACGATAACTGGGCAGAAAAGCCAGATGTCCCATCCCTGGAGGTGTTCAAGGCCAGGATGGATGGGGCTTTGAGGAACCTGCTCTGGTGGGAGGTGTCCCTGCCCAGGGCAGGGGACCTGGAACTGGATGGTCTTCAAGGTCCCTTCCAGCTCTAACCATTCTATGATTCTATGATGATTCTATGTTCTTTCTGCAGGTTGGCATGGTGTCCAGAGTAACAAGCCATCAGGCCATCAAGCAAGTGAATGGGCTGACACCTCAGAAGGGGATGACACCTCGGAGGGGTTTGACACCTCGGAGGGGGCACTGAAGCTCCGTGCTACAGGAGCTCACCCAGAAGGAGTGCTCCCGCAGGCAGCTCTCAGCACACACGTCTCCACACCTCCCCAGTCAGTCCCACCAACTTCATTATGGTTTCTGGGCTGAGCCAAAGATTCCCTTTTCCGAGCTGGGCATGGGCCCAGCTGCCACCAGGTGCAGGAGAGATCTCTTGATTGAAGTGGTGGCTGCTTGAAGCTGCTCCCTGCCCTCTGGGATGCCAAACCCAGTGATGTTCATGGACCCCTCGGGCTAGTTCGTAGTCACACACCGAGTGCATGATCCTTTCCTGGGATTTTATGAAGGTGGCCCATCCACCTGACATAGCCAGTAGCTCTGTCAAGATACAGTGCGTGTCATGATTAAGGTGATCATCACGAGATTCCCACTGAGATGGTATTAGGACTGGCAACGGCCAGTTTGTCAGAGCCAGTTGGACAGTAGCTTATAGGGTTTTTGTCTAAGTCTAAGGCAGCACCCCTCAGATCTGCCAAACTGTGCCCAACGTGACCCTGTGGGTGAGGGCTCGAGCGGACAGGTTCAACTGTCTGACTGGTTTTCACCTTGAGATCCTATCAAGTGGTTGGTGAAGCCACTTGAGAGGAAGGAAGTAACCACAACTCCCTAAAGACCTTCTCTCAGCCCCTCCAAGTGGCTTAAGCAGAGCTCCACACGTCAGCCAAGCACCCCTGAGAGTCACCAGCTCAGGCTCCTTGAGCCACTCACACTATACAGAAGGAAAACTGGAATTTCGACACCGAAGTTTGGAGGCACCAGATTCACACGGGCTGGAGTAACAGTTCAACCAGCTCCAGCACCTGAGAGAATCCACCTAGGAAATTCCTTTCACCGGTTCAGACAATGTTGTACTTACTCTTCTTCAGGATTTCTTTGCACTCAGGGTTAATGGGGGGTGCGTTTGGCTTAGAGAGCGCGTTGGACAGCACTTCCACGATGCACCGTGTCACCTAGAAGAAACAAAATAGGAGAGAAAATTCTCATGGCAAAAATGGAAATCCTATTTCTGACCCAGCTACTGAGGAAGGTTAGTTCAGGTTTAGAGTTCAGGCTAACATCTACGAGTTTTGAGTAATCCCCAGCTCTGCCACAACTCCCCGTGCATTTGGGCAACAAGTGCTGCTCCTCCATCCCACACCAGTAAGAAGAGGAGAGCCATGAGCTCTTTCAACCTCCCCTTTTGTTTGCAGAGATGACAGGCTCCTTCTGTACCTTTTTAAATATTAAATACCCTATTCAGCACAAGGGAGCATCAAACAACATGTGGAAACAGCACCCTACAAAAAAAAATAATACATAACCACTGCACATTTAATAGATGAGGCCCATCCTGTAGGATCTACACAAATGATGCTGCCTCAAAGGTGTTACCAGAACATTGCCTGAAGAAGAGAAGGCTCCGGGGAGACCTTGGAGCCCCTTCCAGTCTCTCAAGGGGCTCCAGGAAAGCTGGGGAGGGACTCTGGATCAGGGAGGGGAGCCATGGGAGGAGGGGGAAGGGTTTGACCCTGAAAGAGGGGAGATGGAGCTGAGATGTGGGGAAGAACTTGTTTGGTGTGAGGGTGGTGAGAGCCTGGCCCAGGTTGCCCCGAGAAGCTGTGGCTGCCCCATCCCTGGAGGGGTTCAAGGGCAGGTTGGAGGGGGCTTGGAGCCACCTGATCTGGTGGGAGGGCACTGGAACTCAATGATCTTTAGCGTCTCTTCCAGCTCTAACCATTCTGTGATTCTATAATTGCCTGGATCACCAATAAACCCTCCATAAGCGAGACACTCCACATTCCCTCTTGTTGTGAGCTGCAAACCCTGCCTCTTTCAGTGCTTAACTTCCAGGAACCAGGGTGGTCTCCTGGAAGCCAAGGAAACTGATTTTGGGCAGTCACGCAACCTCCTCTAACCCCAAATCCCTCCCCCTAAAACAGCTCCTCTCCCCACATTCACACCAAATGATTTTCAAGCCTTGAAGGCACCGGCTACAGGTGAACACTCAGATCATCAGGGCTACGAGGGTCTCAGGGGGCGGGAGGGGAGAACAAAACATTCATGTGACTGGTTTTTTTAACTGTTTTTAGTTATTAGCAGGTGTTTACTAATCTAAATGATCACACTCTCAGCCCAGCGGAGATGGCCTGATGTGAGGTTACAGCTTTCTGAGAGCAGCAAATGGCATTTATTTAATCAAACAGGTTAAGAATCTCTTTCCAAAGCAGGAGGCATGGGGACTGCATTAGGAAGTCCATGACACAGTTAGTTAGTGCAGATGTTTCATCTTCCTTCAAATTTGCCATCTCACTGTTTACACTCCAATAACACGTCCTATCAATATTTTAGATCGTTTTTCAGCCAGCTGGAAAACCTAGGGCTTCTGAAGTCCCATGGCTGACATGGGGAGCCATCCATCATCAAAGGCAGCAAAGTGCAGGCAGGTCACCCTGACACCAACGGGACTCAGTTCCAGGTGACTGATGGTCTCTTAAGAGTTTACCCTTGGGAAAAAAGGCATTACCCTGAGAGTTTAAGGACAAAACATGGGAGACCAGGCAACTGATGCATTCTGACATCTCCTCTGACAGACAGCTACTCACCATTTCTTCAATATGGTCTTTTTCCACTGGAACTGCACTGACACCTAGAAGGAAAACAAATTATTCCGGATTCATTAATCCTACAGGAGTCCTCAGTCAAATGAAAAAACAATGAGATGGCTCGGGCTTTGGGTCAGCAGGTGGGTAAACCAGACCCATTTTACAGGACATCTTGTCCTATCCCAGATGGAAAAGCAAGGCCAAGTCGCAGCCCAGCAGGAGAGAAGAGGCACGTTGACATTTCTAGCACAAAAAGAATACACACCAAGAAATAGAAAGCAAGGCTTAGATTCCAAGACCGGAGCTTTACTGCAAGTCAGGTCTCCGTGTAGTTGTACTTCTTTCCTGGTTTTTAACCACCAAACCAGCAAGGCTTGTTTGCACCCCAAGAACCTTTCAGCTTCTGCAAGGGGCTCTGGGTGCCCCCCCCCCCAGCTCCTCCCCAGTAGGAAACCATTCTGCAAGGCTTTAAAGCAACTGCTGCCCCAAGGCTACTGGAGAAACCCTGTCTCGCTCAGACATGAGGCAGCTACTGGGCAGAAGGACAGACCCAGCAGGGATGGGGAAACTTCCGTTCACTGAGTTACCACCCCTGGAAATAAGCAAAAAACCTAATCAAATCCCGCTGGAAAAAATACTACTCTGGAAGGAAGTGGCACAACCCATCTCTATCTCTCTCTCTCTTTCCCAAGGACACATGATGTGATGAACACCTCCTTGCATCATCTCTACCGTACCTGGTCTGAGGTATTTGCTCTTCCAAATAAGCTGTTGCAAACAAACCCTCCACACGGGTTTCTTTTGCCATCGCTGGGGCAGCACGTCTCTGGCCGGGTAACGAGCCTGGCTCTGTGTGTCATCCATAAACCCTGTCCATTCCCAGCCACCTGGGGATCTGCAGACCTGAAGCTCCACCAGTCTCCCCACCGCACAGGGACGCGCAGAAGCAAAGGCTTCTTGTCTCACGGCTCACAGAATCTTCATGGTTGGAAGGGACCTTTGAGGTCATTGAGTCCAACCACAAAAAAAAAACCAAAAAACCCCACAAAACCAAAAAAACCCCACCACACCAAAACCAAACTCACAAATGGACACAACCCAATAATCTCAGGCACTAGAGCATGCCCTGAAGTGCCACGTCTACACGTTTCTTCGATACCTCTAGGGTTGGTGACTCCACCACCTCCCTGGGCAGGCTGTGCCAGTGCCTGACCACCCTCTCAGGAAAGTCATTCTTCCTCAGATCTCATCTAAACCTCCCCTGCCCCAACTTCAGACCATTTCCTCTGCTCCTGTCATTATTCCTTTGGGAGAAGAAGCCAACCCCCACCTCTCTACACCCTCCTTTCCTCCTTTCACAGAGGCAGGCACAGTCTGTGACCTCCCCTCACAGACCTGCAGTCCTGAAGTTCTGACACACGCCAGCATGGTCTGAAATACCTCCATCACCCTCTGGGTGCTACGGCTGGGTTGGGACACCAGGGGATCTGCTCTACCTGGTGAACACAAGGCAGGTTGTGGAGACCAAGGAAGGGGGAGGGGGTCAGTTTGCCTTTATGGCACCAGGAAAACCAACGCTGCCCCAGGGAGGCTCCCTGCAAAGCCCAGAGGAACGTGCAGCCCCGCAGCAAAACCCTCCTTCTCTTGTGTTCCCTTCAGCACCGACCCCAGGTGCAATAACTGAACACGATACAACAACAGCTCTCTTCATATTTCTATTGTCCCCCAAAACACACGTGTAGGAACGTGCTCCTCCCTCCAGCCCCTGTCTCTCTCCTGCCTGTGCGACTGGGAAGGGGAACCCACACCAGGAGAGCACAGAAGGGATTCCCCTAAAATAGCGGCAGCATCCCTACCCCCCCACACACACCCCCTGCTTCCCCAGAAAGCCAGCTGGCATGGGGGGGAGATGCTGCTAGAGAGAGCCAACCCTCTCTCAGAGGGATGATCAGAGGGATGGAGCACCTCTCCTATGAAGACAGGCTGAGGGAGCTGGGATTGTTCAGCCTGGAGAAGAGAAGGCTCCGGGGAGACCTTATAGCGGCCTTTCAATCCCTGAAGGGTGCCTATAGAAGAGCTGGGGAGGGACTCTTTGCCAGGAGGTGTAGTGATAGGACAAGGGGAAACGGTTTAAAATTGGAAGAAAAAAGATTCAGATTAGATCTCAGGAAGAAATGTTTTACTGTGGGGGGGGGGAGACACTGGCCCAGGTTGCCCAGGGAAGTTGTGGCTGCCCCATCCCTGGAGGGGGTCAAGGCCAGGCTGGATGGGGCCTTGAGCAACCTGGTCTGGTGGGAGGTGTCCCTGCCCAGGGCAGGGGGGTTGGAACTCGATGATCTTTGAGGTCCCTTCCAACCCTAACCATTCTATGCTTCTATGATTCTCCCCCAGCTTTTGCCTCCAACGCTGACTTGAGGCAGCCTTCAGGTGACTTTATTTACTGACCCAGCATGCAAACTGCAGCCACGGCGCTGATGCTGCTGCATCCTGCATCCTCCTGCATCCCACATCCTCCTGCATCCTCCAGCCCAGCACAGGGGGCAGGGATGGGCAGCAGCGCCTCTTCTACTAAAAACCAGCGTTACCCACCAAAAGGACGTTCTCCCAGCCCCACGGGGGTTGGGGACACTGCTTTCCCTGCTCTCCCCACGGGCACCACTGACACATGGGGGACGACCCACTTCATTGTCATCTCCTCCAGCCCAGGAGGCACCATGGCACGCAGGGGAACAGGCACCCCATCGTGTCCTCCTTAGCGACGCCGTGGCAGCACCATCTCCCGTGGTTTGGGTGGGACAAAGCTCAGAGCAGACAAACTTCTGAAGGTTTCTGCTGCTGCTGGAGATGCCCACCATGGGCTGCCCCCCGAGCGCTGTGGGGGTAGGAAGTCAGGTTGTCCCCCCTGCCTTCCCGATGCTCACAGGTAGATTAACGACCATCCAGCACGTGCTGGGTTAATGATGAAAGCTGACACGGGTGGGCAGAGAGGAAGCATTAGGCTATCATAACAGTGTCTGCTGTTGGACACACATCCTATTAACCCGCCTGGAGGCACAAAATGAGTGTCCAATCCATCCCAGAGGCTGAAATAATACATCGAGGCAGCTGCTCTGCCAGAGCTGAGAGAGGAAGCCGGTGGGGAGCCAGCCTGCCCCACTCGATGCCAGCTGGCAAGAGCTCCCTCGGGGCCACCTGCCAGCTGGAGATGGCTTGCCATCACCTCTGCCTTCCTCTCCACGTGTGCTCAGGAGGGGTGAAGCCATTGCCCAGCTCCTCCCAGGGCTTACAGGGACTCAGCAGACCACCGTTTCATGGGGGAAGCACCATCAGTCAGAGCACACAGGGGGATGGAAACCCTTCCCCTGCCCGTGCCCAGCAACCAGGGCAGGGACCCACAGGGCGAAGCAAAGCCCTGGCTCTGCTCCCCTCTCCTCCACCAAATCTGCCCAGGCAGTTACCATCAGATTACAATCTGATGTATCGATCTGATCTGATTTTGCAGAAGTGCTGAGAGCTCCTAAAGATCACACACAAAAAAAAAAAAAAAAAGATGAGAAATGCAGGACAAATTCCGGCACTTTTTTTTGCTTGGCATCTCCAAGATCAGGACAGATCTTTCCCCGGTGACATCCCCAGGTGGCTTTGTCTCATTAATGCCCATGACTCAGAGCGGGGCCATCGCTCATCAAAATGCCAGCCCGAGCCCTTCCCGGGGAAGGTCAGGGAAACTTTGGCGTTATCGATCCGCCTTCAGAGAACTAGAAAGTTCCTCAAGTTCATCTTTCGCTCATTTCCAGCCCCAAACAAACTCCTGAGCTCACCGATTCCACCTGATGTTTGAAAGCAAGAGCCCAAAAGGGCCGTGAAGAGCTACCCCACCTGTTTGCCGGAGAAACAGGAAAAAAAGGAGAAATCCCCCTGGGGTCTGCAGAATAAATCTAGTGACTGCTCTGGGCTGGGGGTCTCTCCCCCCATCTCCCCCCTCCCCTTTGATTACAATAAAGGCCATCAACTTCACGGCAGAGTTTCCGTCCCAGTCCCAGCAGCGTTCCCACCCCGAAACCCCCCC